CATGTCATGTAGCTCGTACCGACCGTGCTCCATCTGCATGGTTACGAGAGACAATCTTCGGGACGTGGATGACGAGAGCGTTCCTCGAACCGTGAAAGATCAGAAAGCCGTGTACAAGCTAATGGAGGAAGCAGAAACCATGAAGGAATTGACCCGTCTAAAGAAGAAGTATTCAACCCACTTTGTGAAGGTATCACTTCTTGTCCGCTTAAGTTGATTAGGCTCCGTGGTCCCGAAGTCCCACCCCTATATCCTCCCACCGCACTTGGGTCTAAAATAAATTATCCCGTCCGCACTGCCCATTTGTCAACCCCACGCTCAACACACCCATGCCTCCACCTCAACTTTTGTCGCCACCTCCTCCTTGTGTTGGAGGTGGACACCTCGCCATGTTCCACCCTTGGACAGGCACGCTCCCACACCTCACATGATCCCGCCCTCGTTCATCAAATCCCTAAACCCCCACCCTATCCTTGCTGTCCGTCCAGCTCACACACATACCCTCCCCATACCCCGCCCATCCTAGTTCCTGGCACACAATCCCACCCTGGTCGTTCTTTTCCCTATTCTTCATCCAAATCCCCAAGGCGCCCTCTTTTCCGTTCCGCGTGCCTCCCCTTGCGGCCAGTCATTGCTGTGGGATTGGGAGTTCTCCAAAACCAAGTGGGGCAACACGTACCTCGCCCAAACACCTGACATCATGCACATCATCGAGGCAGGGCTTTGGCTTCATGCAATGAGGTGCCTCATGAAGAAGTTGAAACCGGCAGAGCGAAAAATACTTCTCGAGTAAGTTTCCCTTTTCCCCCGGTGGGGCGAGAGTCATACATGCAAGGGAAAGGGGCATCGAGGGGGAACCAGAGGGATAGAGAGGGGAAGAGGGGCAGCGAGAGGGAAGGTTGCACTAAGAGAGAGGGAAATTGGGGCAGAGAGTGGGGAAGATGGTCAGAGAGACGTATGTTGTGGCTGACTGAGGGAAGGACGGGGAGGTGGATGGAAGGGGGGCAGCTATAAACGACTACGGGGCAGAGAGAAGGTAGGAGGTGCAGAGAGAAGTGATTGCGAGCCAGAGTGAGAGCACGCGACGAGTGAAGTGGGAACTAGGGACGGAGAGAGGTAAGGAGGGGAATGGAGGGGGACAGTGGGGCAGAGAGAGTTAGGGAGGGCGGGGCAGAGATAGGGAATGCGGGGTCGAGAGAGGGTAGGAGGGGCAGAGAGAGGGACGTTGGGGTATTGAGCGGGAATGGCGGAATACGGCGCCTGAGAAAGTAAGCGGCAAAGGAGGAATGGCAGGTAGAGAGAGGGAAAGAGACAGAGCTAAGGAGGTACTGCGGGGTTGAGAGGGAACGATATGCACATAAGGAGGAATGGAGGGAAGAGTGAGGGAATTTGTAGCAGCGTTGGAGGAATGCGGGGTGGAGAGGGGGGAAGTGGTGCAGAAAGAGGGAATTTGGGACAGAGACGTTGAGGGAGGGGCTGAAAGGTGGAAGGAGGCGCTGCGAGCAGGAAGGTGGGGCTGCTAGCGGGAAGGAGGGGCATAGGAGGGGGGGGGGGGGGGGGGGGGGGGGGGAGGTCGCGTGAGGTGAACGCGGGATTCAGAATAGTGTATTCGGGGCATAGGGACCACATGGGGGTAATGTAGGGGTAAATTTGGGCAGAGAGTAAGGGAGATTGCGGCTGGGAGAGGGCAAGTGGGGCAGAGTGAGGAAATTGGGGGCATGGAGAAAGAAATTGGGACCGAGGAAGGGAAATTGGGGCAGAGAGAGAGAGAACGAGGGGCGGAGAGAGGTGATCATGGGGCAGAGCGAGGGAACAAGGGGCAGAGAGAGGAATGATGAGGCATAGAGGCTGGGGGAGTGGGGCAGAGGACGGAAAGGGATTCACTGAGAGAGAGGCAGCGGGGAGATGAGGTGCGATCTGATGCACCTAACTACAAGACCACCCCGCTAGCCCCACCCCTCCCCCGCCCCCCCCCTCCCTAACCCACCCCACCGGCCCCACACCCCCTAAACCGATACCCTTATTGCATCCTGTAAGTGCAGCCGCTACAAGATTATCAAGGCAGCGACTCCTGCGTCTTTGCTGAGACTCCCATCCGCATGGGCGTACTTCACCACGACGGCCTGCTTCTCAGCGTCGGAGCACCGTGCCATGATGCAAGTGCTGCCCCTCATCATCGACCTCCCCAAGCGCGCCGATATTCGACATGCCATCACGATCATGTCGGACTGGTACAAGGAGTTTATCCGGGCTGAGTATCACACCGATGCCACGCTTGAGCGCATGGAGGAGGTCTCCTGCGAGTAAGTCTAGCGTGAATGGGTGTGGGTGCCATGCGCATAGGGAACGAGGGACAGTGAGATGGCTGAAGGGGTCGAGGGAGGGATTAAGAGGCAGTGTGTGGGAAATAGGGTGCATAGAACGGGGGAAGAAGGGAAAAGATAAGGAAAGGGGGGCAAAGCGAGGGAAAGAGGGGACGAGGGAGGGAAAGAGGGGACGAGGGGGGGAAAGAGGGGACGAGGGAGGGAAAGAGGGGACGAAGGAGGGAAAGAGGGGAGGGGGGGGAGGGAACGATGGGCTGTGGACTGTTCCGCATGCGCTGAAAAAGGGAAGGAGGGGCATAATGACGAGAGGAGGGGCTTAGAGTGGGGGAATGGAGTGGCAGAAACATGGAAGCTGAGTTGTGAGTGGGTGGGGGGGGGGGGGGGAGATGAGAGGAGGGGGGAGGGTTTGAGAGAGGGTAGTAGTACATGAACCCGGGTATTGGGCATTGTCTGTTGTTTGTGGCTGAATTGTTTTTTATATGCTTACGCACGCTAAACCGATCCCCAACACCCAATGCCCCAATCCCGAACCTTTCAATCCACCCAAACACGTCCTATCCAGGATGGTCGATGCGCTTGTTCTAGCATTCGACAACCAGAAGTCGAAGTGGCTTATTATCAAGGTGCATCTTGTATCGCACCTCCCGCCGACGATCCGTGCACGGGGATTGCCACAGGAGTACTCGTCGAACCGGTACGAGCAGTCCCACAAGACAACAGTGAAGCGCCCTTCTCGCGGCACCAACTGGAAGGGTGTGGAGGATCGCATTGTGAAGAAGCATATCGAGCAAGCCGTTGTTCGACAGCTGTCTCGAGCCTCCGGCGGGGACAAAACATACGAGACAGCCATGAAGGAGGTGAGCCTGTGTACGACCTAAGGCCGATCTTGCCCACCAATGTTCCCCGCCTGCTCCTGCCGCATGAAACCCTCTATCACCTCGTGTTTTTGTTTAGACCCTGCCTCTTCCCTTCCTCCCGCTGCCCCCCTAGACATCCCTTCTAGCATCCACGTGCTCACCATCATGTCCACCCATGAAATGCCTCTCCCGCTGCCCCCCTTGACATCCCGTTTTGCATCTACATGCTCGCGTTCTTGTCCACCCATCGCTCCTTCCACTAGCTGCCACCCTTCACATTCCGTCTTGCCCCACATGCTTTCCCACTTATCCACCCATGCCCCTCCCCCGGCCCCCGTGGGACTATCCGTCGTTCAGCCCCCAATGCTCCCCTACTAATCCACCATATACCTTCGTGCTGCTAAACACGTCGCCCCCTCGGTTCCCCCCCCCCATCCTCCTCCATGTCCATCCCCGGCACTTCCCATTCCCTCCTGCCGTTTGTCTTTCCTTTGCCCTCCCTTGATCTACACTTGTCCACCTATGCTCCCTCCTCTTGCTGCACCCTTTGACCTCTGGAACTGCCCCGCTATACTAACCGACTGGTCCCTAATCTTTGCTCCCTCTCACTGCTGCCCCTGTTGTACTCAAGTGCTGCCCCTCTCCTGCTGCCCCCCATGTACACCATGCACCCATCACCCTCCTACCCAGGCTTGCACGCTAGGGCGTCGGGTGCTGACTAAGACACACAAGAAGATGACCGTGGGGCACATCACGGATGATCTGTTCAGGAGCTATGTCCTTGTTCACGGAGATGAAGCGATGGGCTACTTGAAGAAGCGGCTGGCCAGGGAGGGAATTCACGACCAAGTGCTCAATGTGAGAATCAATATGGTGCTCAATGCGGGAGTATCAATGTGAGAATCAACTGCCACTGCCACGTAGACCTGTTAAACGCGGGCCATCAACCTCCTTAATGGGCCGAACCCAGGCATGGCACCCTGTTGTATCCACGCACCCGTCAGCACCCCATCGTCTCAACCCTAACACAAACTTCCATTGTTGTGCTACGACCCCTGCTTGCCTATTCGCAGGTGCACACTGCCATGGCAATCCCACCGCACGACAGGATGGAGTGGACCGAGAAGGGGCAGTTTGTCAAAGCAAGCCCTTCCGACAGGCACTTTTCAGATGTAGCCATAAATCCAGCTGGAAAAGGGGCCAACTGGTACGGCCGCTGCTTGATGCTGTTCCATTACGTGAAAGATGGCGTGGCAAAAAAAGCCGCCTACATCGAGTACTACACGGAGGATCGGCGAGTCTGCCGGTACACTAGCTGCAAACGACTGTTGCCCACGAAGGGCACCTTCAACTATGCAGTTGTAGATGCAGATTGCATTCTTAGCATCGTGCATGTTGTCCCGTGCTGCAAAGACCCTGCTGTGAAGCTGCTCAATAGGTTCATCTGGTGATGCAAATTAAGTAGTAACTATGTCAATTTACCATAACCTTCTTTGATTGTGAAACACGTTTTTAAGCCACCTTATTATTGTCTCAACAATTAACATCTAACAAACATTCCATTGTAACACCGCGAAACCATTACTAAAACATCACCAAAACGTTTGGTCTGACAAGAATGCTATACAAACGATTCGTAGATGATTCCTGGATGATTGTCAAACGATTTTCTGAAGCTTGCTTAAAAAAAAATTGGTAAGATGATTTCCAGACGCACACATTTTTGTGATGCGCGCGCAGAGGAGTCGTGCTCCGCCTCCGCGCCCTGCGCCAACAACCTCTGCTGCAGCAAATGGGGCTGGTGTGGCTCCACCGTCGATCACTGCGGCGCAGGCTGCCAGTCCCAATGCTCCGGTTCCGCCTCCTCGCCCACTCCGCCTCCCACCACATCCCCTTCCCCCTCTCCTCCTCCCCCATCCCCCTCCCCTTCTCCGTCTTCTGCTTCTCCGCCGCCCCCGTCCGCCTCACCTCCCCCACCAACCGGCTCCGCTCCCCCCCCCGACCGGCTCCGCTCCCCCCCCAACCGGCTCCGCTCCCCCCCCAACCGGCTCCGCTCCCCCCCCAACCGGCTCCGCTCCCCCCCCAACCGGTTCCGCTCCCCCCCCAACCAGCTCCGCTCCCCCCCCAACCGGCTCCCCTCCCCCATCTACTGGGTTGCAGCGCATGGCGTATTTCAAGAACGAGGCGGGCATGGACCCATCCCTCATCCCTGCTGCCAACCTCACGCATGTCTTTTACTCCTCTGCTTCCCTCGACCCCACCACATACAAGGTATGGCACCACACACAAGGCACAGGAGGTGTGAGTGCGTATGCCATGCTCTATTCGGTCATCTGCTCCGTGTAACCCTTCTTTTTCACATTCGCGATAGTGAATTTTTGGATGCTTCGCTTTTCCTACCCTCTCCCCTCAACAGGTCGTCCCTTCCAACCCTGTAGTGCAGTGGACGTCACTCAGGGTCTCTGCCTTCAATGCCACCACCCATTTTCACCCCTGACCCCTTGCCTTTTCTCCCTTCACCTCTCAACGGGTCGCCCCTCACATCCCAGCAATTGACGTCAACGAGGGCCTCTATCTGCGCTTCAACTCTGCTGTAAAGACCGCCAACCCCACCATAAAAACTCTCCTTTCCATTGGCGGCTATTTCAAATTCTCCACCGATTTCGCAAGCGCCACCTCCTCCCCGTCCTCCCGCTCTGCCTTCATCCAATCCGCGATCGCCCTCGCTCGCACGTACAACTTTGACGGTCTGGATCTCAACTGGGAGTACCCAACGGGCAACACCACCCTCTTTTCCACCCTGTTCACGGAATTCCGGGCGGCGATCGAATCCGAAGCTGCCGCCTCCGGGAAATCGAAGCTTCTGCTTTCTGCGACGGTTTCTGCATACGAGCCACTAATCACTCAGCTCTTCGATGTCCTGACGCTTAACAAAACACTGGACTTTGTTAATGTTAAGACTTACAATTTTATTGTGTCTTTGAATTCCCCCACGACCGGCATGCACACTGCTCTGGAGGACGTGAGCAACCCTGAGCTGAGCATCAAGGGCGCCATGGCTGCATGGGTGTCCCAAGGCTTGGCCCCAAGCAAAGCCATGGTAGGCTTGGCGATGTACGGCTGGACCTGGACGCTTGCCTCGACAAACAGCACTGGGGTTGGAGCCCCAGCCACTGGGCCTGGTCAGGTTAGCTCTCTTCTTTCATTTTATTCTTCTCTCATTTTCTCCTCTGCTTTATGCTTCTCTCTTTCTCACATATTCACAGCCTTTTGTGATTTTTTTTTCCTTCCTAGCACACTTTCAGAGTGTCACTTCTACCTTTCTTATGGCGCCTTTGCAAGTAGCTTCAACCAACCTCTCATCACTCTCTCCCTTGACCTTCATATTCCCCCTCCACCCCACCAACAAAAAGGTTGATACCCTCTCTTACAAGGAAATCGAACAGCTGGTAACCACTGGAGGTTACACAGCTAAGCTCGACGCCCCAACATTCTCTATGTATGCAGTGAAGGGTGACCAGTGGGTTGGTTACGACGACCCTTCCACCATCACCACCAAGGTTCAGTTTGCCAAGGCGCAAGGCTATGGAGGGTGGTTCTGTTGGAGACTGGACCAGGATGTCAACAATGCTCTGGTCAATGCTGCAGCAGCTGCCTCTTGATTTGAACCCAACAGTCAGACAGCATGAGAAAAGTATAGACGAGTCTTATGCTTGTTAATACCTATTATAAGTGTAGACGAGTTGTTTGGAGTATGAAGGTGGAGGTGTCAATGTTTTAATTAATAGCGAGCTATAACCGTACATGCAGCCGCTTTCATATGCTCGTGTTTTTCGTTCCTGACAAAATCTAGGATGGTTATTCTGGGCATGGAGCCAACAGAGCTCTGCTCAATGCTGCAGCCGCTGCATGAGATGAAACCTAGGTAAATATTCTGGGAAAAGAATGTTCCACTAGTTCGTTTGTCTGATTTGTAGACAAGTTGATGAGGAGTTGTTGTATCTGATGAAGCTGGTTCCCAAGAGCCCGTGTTCCGATTGTCCGAATTCGTGCCAATCTCGGGAAAAGAGGCGATGTCTGCGCGACACGCGTCACAAAGCCACTCGTGGTACCGCTAACTCGACTCACAGACACCACTCTGCCCCCATGCACAGTGCAGCAACCCCTCCCTCCTCCCAGTAACACAACCCTCCCGACCGCCGTCTCCTCCCCAGTAGCTACCAGGCGCACCCATGTGCCACCACCAGGCTGTGTGGAGCAGGCAGACAACGCCACACAGGGGGCCCACACAGGGGGCCCCACACAGGGGGCCCACACACACACACACACCCTGTAGACCATGCAGCAGTGGCTCGGCTGGACTCACACCACTCTGCCTCCGTGCACACACAGTGCACCAGTCACTCCCTCCCAGTCACACCACTCTGCCGCCCGCCATCTCCTCCCCCGTTGCTGCGAGCTGCGCCCACCTGCCACCCGCAACCGCCCCTGCTGAGCTGGCAGAGTCTCTCAGACTGCCGTCTGCCTCGAGCTTCGCCTGCACCTGCTTCGCCATCAGGGCTAGGCCTGTGGGGGACAGGGCACACGATGGAAAGGGCAAAGAGAGACAGTTCACCTCGAGCTTTGCCTGCACCTGCCTCGCCATCACGGCCAGCCCTGGCATACAAGAAACATGGAAACACCACACCACACCACACCACACCACACCACACCACACCACACCACACCACACCATACAGTTGTTTGGAGCACAGCTAAAAAATATGGTAGCGTGTGTCAGTGGCTTGGAGTGGAGATAGCAGCTGGCTGGCAAAGTCACAGAGACTGCCGTCTGCCTTGAGATTCGCCTTGCTTCGCCACACTCCCACATTCCTACACTCTACCCACAATCACACCCACGCCCACACCCACACCAACACCCGCACCCACACCCACACCCACACCCGCACCCACACTCACACCCACGCCCACACCCGCACCCACACCCACACCCACACCCTCCCCTTCCCCGCTACCTTTATTCTACACACACCCACACCCTCCCCTTCTCCGCTCCCTTTATTCCACACACACCGACACCCACACCCACACCCACACCGGCACCCAACTCACCCTGCACCATGCGGCTGACAGCCGTCCACTACGCTTCCACTCAGTGCATGATAGAAGCTTATCCTCTCACCCACTCACCCACTCACACTCACCCACTCATCCACGCCCACTCCCAACCCCCCCCAACCCTCCACACCCCCATGCATTCACTCACCCTGCACCACGCGGCTGACAGCCGTCCACCACTTGTCTTCCGACAGCTGTCGCCTCGTCAGCGCTGACGAGATCTCCTTGCTGCGCTGCCCCAAGCACTGCCTGCAGCACCTGGGCGGCATCCCTTGTCTCTTCTAGCACACCTCTCTGCAGTGGCAAGATGAAGCGAGGAGAGACAAGGAAGATCAGGAGGCACATGAAAGTTTGTTACCAGATGTCTCAACATGGAAAACGGAGAAAGAAGAGAGGATGCCAGGAGGATGGAAATGGAAAAATGGCCTGTCCTTTGTGTGTGTGTGTGTGTGTGAGTGTGCGTGTTTGTGTTATTTTGTGACTGTAAGAACACTCTCTATGAAATATGAGGTCACTCGAGCCATATGTGATGGAGGAGAATGAAGCGCTTGGGGAGCAGCTCAAGAACAGGAGGAATGGTTGATTGTGGGTTGCCACAGCAATGTATTTTTTGCGGATTACCTGGTAGATGTTGGCTTGCCAATCATGTGGCGAACTAGCTGTATATTAAGTTGACTCCAAACACGCTTAGGAACAGGAGGACCCTTGATCGTGGATTGTCTGGTGCATGGATTGCCAATGGTGTGGCCAGCGGGCTGTACCTGGAAGGTTGGCGACTGTGTGACGGCCACTAGTGCGCTGTTCTCTCCTTCCTCCCCCTCGTTGTCGTTGCACATTGCCTGCACACAACTCACAGGGCGAATCGGAGTTATTAGAGAACCGATGTTAGGGTGCCTTGTGTCCTTCTTCCTGTCCTTCCTCTCGCTCTCGCTGCACATGGCCTGCACACGCAAACCTAAAGAGAGAGGGGAGAGGGGGCGAGGGAGGGAGATTGAGTAAAGAGACGAAGGGCCTAAAAAATGAGGTGCGCACCTCTTCATCTCCCCCATCTCCCCACCTTGCTGCCATTGCACACGGCACCAGCACATGCAAGCCCATGCAAGCTCCAACCAGTCATGGTGTCAATCAGTCATGGCGTGACGACTGTCAGTCACCTAAGGTTTGCATGACGGTCATAGCACGCACCTGCAGGTCCCTATGGGACGAGGTGAGAGTGAGAGTCGGAGAGCCCACTGGGCAGCAATGGCCCACCGCCACTTTGCTTTTGAGTCAACTCAAAAGGCGGCAGTGGCCCACCGCAACTTGGCCAGTGAGAAGCATGCACGCCCCTAGCATGTTCCCGCAACCTGCAAGCATGCACGTCTATAGCACATCACCCACCTGCAGGTCCCGCTGTGAGGACGTGAGCGTGAGAGCCAGAGCCCACTGGGCTGCTGTGGCCCACCGCCACTCTCGGACTGCAACCCACAGCACCTCTAGAGCACCCACCTGCAGGTCCCTCTGGGAAGACGTGAGTGTGAGAGCGAGGGCCCACTGGGCGGCAGTGGCCCACTGCCACTTGGCCGCCTCGCACGCCATCTGCTTCTCCTGCGCCGCCGCCCAGCTGGCAAGCTTGTCTGCTAGCGCCACCTCCCCCAGCGCCACACTACGCAGATACTTGGCGGTCTGAGGCCTCGTGCTGCGCACCATTGCTGCAAACACACTGTTTTCAATACCAGGTTGGTGGGAGTGTCGTACTCCAGGGCCTGAGAGGGAAGTGGGAGGGATGAGGAGAGGTAAGGGGGAGTTGGAGGAAGAGTAGATACTTGGCAGTCTGAGGGCACGTGCTGCGCACCATCGCTGCGAACACACTGGCCTTCGTGGGATGAAGGCCAGTGTGTCGTACTCAAGTGCCTGGGTGGGATGAAGAAGAGGAGAAGCATGTGAGTACTTGGCAGTCTGTAGCCCCTTTGCTGCACACCATGGCTGCGAACACATTGCCTTCGTTCAACACCAGGTTGGCTGGCGTGTCGTACTCCAATGCCTGGACGAGGAAATGGAGGGAGGGAATGGTCGAAATGGTGAGGTGGAGGTAGGGAGTTGACTTTTGAGTCGACTCAAAACTGGTGAGGTGGAGGTAGGGAGTTGACTTTTGAGTCGACTAAAAAATGGTGAGGTGGAGATAGGGAGTTGACTTTAGAGTCGACTCAAAAGTGATGAGGTGGAGGTAGGGAGTTAACTTTTGAGTCGAGTCAAAACTGGTGAGGTTGAGATAGGGAGTTGACTTTTGAGTCGAGTCAAAACTGGTGAGGTGGAGGTAGGGAGTTGACTATTGAGTCGACTCAAAACTGGTGAGGTGGAGATAGGGAGTTGACTTTAGAGTCGACTCAAAACTGGTGAGGTGGAGGTAGGGAGTTGACTTTTGAGCCGACTCAAAACTGGTGAGGTGGAGATAGGGAGTTGACTTTAGAGTCGACTCAAAACTGGTGAGGTGGAGGTAGGGCAGGTACCTGGCGGACGGGGGCCCCGTGCTGCGCACCATAGCAATAAGCTGGCATGCAGAATCGAATCCAATCAATCAGCTCACCATGCCAGCATCCATGACCAGAAGAATTCTGTCGCTATCCATGATGGTGTTGAGCCGGTGGGCAATCGTCAGCGTGGTGCGACCCTTGAACTCCTCTTGCCTACCCAACCCACAAACCCCACCACCTCGCCTCCCTCATTCTCTCACCATGCCAGCATCCATGACCAGAAGAATTCTGTCGCTATCCATGATGGTGTTGAGCCTGTGGGCGATCCTCAGCGTGGTGCGACCCATGAACTCCTCTTGCCTTGTACCCAACCCACAAACCCCACCACCTCGCCTCCCTCATTTTCTCACCATGGCGACATCCATGACCAGAAGAATACTGTCGCTATCCATGACGGCGTTGAGCCGGTGGGCGATCGTGAGTGTGGTGCGACCCTTCAATTCCTCTTGCCTTGTACCCAACCCTCAAACCCCACCACCTCGCCTCCCTCATTCTCTCACCATGCTGGCATCGATGACCAGGATCCTGTCGCTATCCGTGACGGCGTCGAGCCGGTGGGCGATCGTCAGCATGGTGCAACCCTTGAACTCCTCGTGCCTTGTACCCAACCCACAAACCCCATCACCTCGCCTCCCTCATTCTCTCACCATGCCGCCATCGATGACCAGGATCCTGTCGCTATCCATGACGGCGTCAAGCCGGTGGGCGATCGTCGGCATGGTGCGACCCTTGAACTCCTCGTGCCTTGTACCCAACCCACAAACCCCACCACCTCGCCTCCCTCATTCTCTCACCATGCGGCCATCGATGACCAGGATCATGTCGCTATCCATGACGGCGTCGAGCCGGTGGGCGATCGTCAGCATGGTGCGACCCTTGAACTTCTCGTGCCTTGTACCCAACCCACAAACCCCACCATCGCGCCTCCCTTATTCTCTCAACATGCCGCCATCGATGAACAGGATCCTGTCACTATCCATGACGTCGTCGAGCCGGTGGGCGATCGTCAGCGTGGTGCAACCCTTGAGCTCCTCTTGCCTTGTACCCAACCCACAAACCCCACCCCTCATTCTCTCACCGTGCGGGCATCCATGACCAGGATCCTGTCGCTATCCATGATGGTGTCGAGCCTGTGGGTGATCGTCAACATGGTGCGACCCTTGAACTCCTCGGCTCTGCCCTGTACCCAACCCATAGACTCTGCCACTTGTCTCCTTTACTCACGCACCATTTCGGCATCCATGACCAGGATCTTCACGCTATCCATGATGGTGTTGAGCCGGTGGGCAATGGTCAGCATGGTTCGCCCCTTGAATTCCTCGCCCACATCAACGGTTGTCGTCGCTTCATCCAACACCAAAATGCGCGACTCCTTGAACAGCGCCCGCGCCAGGCTGATCAGCTGCCTCTACCCCACGCTGAAGTTCTCCCCTCCCTCTGCTACCTGAAGTGGGGTGAAGTGAAATGGGAAAACGATTAGTTGTACCCATCTCAGCCCCTCCTTGAGCAGCGCCCTAGCCAGGCTGATCAGCTGCCGCTGCCCCACACTGAAGTTCTCCCCTCCCTCCGCCACCTGTGGGGAAATAGATGGTTGAAGGGGAAGAATCCGCGACATGCGGGATAGCACCTCCCCAACATCTCGGTACCAGCACTGTCTAGGTATAACTATCTTCCCTTCCCTTACACTCACCTCCGTGTCCTACTCCAGCGGCATGCGAGATACCACCTCCCTCAGGTGCGCCCTCCCCATTGCCTCCCACACCTCGCTATCACGGCGCTTATTGAACGGATCCATGTTGACATGCAATGTGCCTGGAGGGGGTGGAGGGGGGATGAATGGGGGCGGAAGGAGGGATGGAGGAGGGGAAGAGGGCGGAGGGGGGTCGGAATGGGGGATGGAAGGAGGGGAGAGGGGAAAACAGGGGGGGATGGACGGAGAGGGTCAAGAGCCTTCTGAGTCTCTCCCTCCCTCCCACACCTCCTCATTGCCAGGTGACTTCTGAGTAGACCCAATTTTTTCTGCCATGGCTCCTAACTGGGGCTCGATTGAGCCTTCTGAGTCCCTCCCTCTATCCCTCCTTCCCATTCCTCCCACCCTCCCACACCTCGTTGTCACTTTGCTTAGACCTACTAAGGGTTTAACTTGGTCACAACCGCACCTCCTATTGTTTGCCCAAGCCGCACCCCCTAGGACCAGAATGACAACAAAGGCATGCCATAACACCTCTATTTCCTCCCCTCCCTTTTCTCGAATTTCCCGAAACTCGTCCCCTTTTTCCCCCCGTTCTGCGTCTCCCCTTCCTCCACCCTCCCTTTCTCCCCTTCTCTTCCCTTCCAGGTCACAGGCATCTACTATGTTGACTCTCACAACATCACCGAGTCGCGCCTTCAATCACTACTCTTCTTCCTTCCTTCCCTTCCACCACCCTCTGCCCTGCCGTCCCCCCTCTCCCCTTACTCACCAACCCCCAGGCCACGAGCATCTACTATTTTGACTCTCACAACATTGTCAAAGTATATGCATGCTATATATATGTAGGCTGTAGTGGGGTAGCCAATATGGGGTACAACCCCATTTAGGGTTTCATACTTGTACCCTACTCTTCCATAGTGCATTCATTCCTGCTGCTAGATTCTAACATGGTATCAGAGCACTAGGTCCATAGGACCGTCTTTTTTTTCGGGCCCACCTACTGTTGCGGTTACCGTGCTACCCCACGTGTTGTCCTGCGCCTGCCTGCCTGCCTGCCTTGCCTTGTGACGTGCTGCGCTGCGCGCGCCGTCCTGCAGCCCTAGCGCTGCCTCCTGCTGCCCTAGGCCAGCGCACCGCCCCTGCAGGCTAGTAAGGCCCACGAACCGCCCCTGCAGGCCCGTCAGGCTCGCGAGCCGCCCCTGCAGGCCCGTCAGGCCCACGAGCCGCCCCTTCAGGCCCGTCAGGCCCACGAGCCGCCCCTGCAGGCCCGTCAGGCCAGAGCGCCGCCCCGCCCGCGGCCCCGCCCTGCCGCTGACGCGGCCCCGCCCTGCCGCGGTCGCGGCCCCGCCTTGCCGCTGACGCGGCCCCGCCGGGACGCCGACGTGGCCCCGCCAGCCCTGCAGCTGACGCGGCCCCGACCTGCCGCTGGCGCGACCCCGCCCTGCAGCTGCCGCGGCCGCGCCCTGCCGCCAACGCGGCCCCGCCTGGACGCCGACGCGGCCCCGCCAGCCCTGCAGCTGATGCGACCCCTGCCGCTAGCGCGACCCTGCCCTGCAGCTGCCGTGGCCCTACTCTGCAGCCGCTGTTGCGGCCCCGCCGAGCGCCGGCCCTGCCCGCCACTGGTGAGCACCTGCCTTGTTCGTGCGCTGCCGCGCCCTCTGCCTGGCTGTCTGCCTGCCTGCCTGCCCGCCTGCCTGCCTGCCGCGCCTGCCCTGCCCGCGCTACTGCTACTACTACTGCTACTGCTGCTACTGGCGGTGGCCAGATGCAGCTCCAGCGACGTCCGCGTGAGTCCCTCACGCCCCAGCAGCTTCGTGAGTGGTACGCTAGTTGGGGTTGTAGGGGTGGCCGCGCTGCTACTGCTGCTACTGCTGTTACTGCTGCTACTGCTAGTACTGCTGCTACTGCTGCTACTACTGCTACTGCTGTTACTGCTGCTACTGCTGCTACTACTGCTACTGCTGCTACTGGCGGTGGCCAGATGCAGCTCCAACGACGTCCGCGCGAGTGTCTCACGCCCCAGCAGCTTCGTGAGTGGTACGCTAGTTGGGGTTGTGGCGGTAGCCATTGTGGCTATCGCCCTGGAGCTGGCCAGTCGGGAGCGTCTCGCAGTGGCCAGCTGCAGCTGCAGCGGCGTCCGCGTGAGACACTTACGCCCCAGCAGCTTCGTGAGTGGTACGCTCAGAGTAGAGGGTCTTTGAGGACCGTTCGCTGCCCATACGTCATTCGCACAGGTGATTGAACTGGTCAGGCTTGCGGGACACTTGGTCACACACAGATCCGCTGCTTCGCCCGTCTGAGTAACGCCTGGCGTACCGAGTTTGGCGACGAGGCTGAGCTCCCCACCTGGCTGGAGCTGCTTGGACGGAGGGTAGATATCTTTGCTCTTGACTATGATGCTATTCTCACTGCCATGTATGCATTGCCTACTAGTGCTGACCGTGCCTGTTACCTGTGCGTACCGCCTGACCCAGGTATAGAGCCTGCTGCTCTAGGTGCTGGTGAGGCTGCTGCTCTAGGTGCTAGTGCGTCTCCTGCTCTAGGTACTGGTGAGGCTGCTGCTCTAGGTGCTGGTGAGTCTGCTCTCTCTGGTACTTCGCCTGCTGAGGCCTTGTACACCTTCACACTTGACTCAGGTGCTTCCCGCTCCTTCTTTCGCGACAGCACCACCCTCACGCCGCTCAGCCGGCCGGTTGCAGTCTCCCTGGCAGACCCCTCTGGGGGTCCAGACCTTTCGCACTCCTCCACGGTCCTGCCGTGTCCGGCAGTCCCGTCCGGCTCCCTGTCAGGTCTTCACCTCCCCTCGTTCTCTATGAACTTGGTGAGTGGTGCTGACCTCCAGGACCAGTGGGTTGACCAGTTCACTCATGGAGGTCAGCGCGTCACCCACTGTACGTGCTCTCGGACGGGCCGGCACCTGGCCACGTTTACCCGTGACCCTGGCTCGAGTCTGTACACACTGACTACTGTGTCCCCTAAGGTCGCTGCATCTGCGTCTGCGTCAGGTAAGCTAGCGGCCCCCTGCTCGTGTCGCGCTTTGTTGCACCAGACCCTCCTTTGGCACCACCGCCTTGGTCACCCCTCGGTGCAGTGCCTTCGTAGCATGCACCGCCGTTTCCTTGTCTCTGGTCTTCCCAGGGTTCTCCCTCCCCTCCCACCCTCGCCTGCTCCTCCTTGTCTTCCCTGTGTCGAGGGGCGGCAGCGCGCCGCTCCTCACTCCTCCTCGTTCCCTCCCACAGAGGCTCCCCTGCAGACTCTCCACCTGGACGTGTGGGGCCCAGCCCGCGTCCGTGGACAGGGCCACGAGCGCTAATTCTTGCTGGTTGTCGACGACTACACGCGTTACACCACGGTCTTCCTCTTGAAGCGCAAGGGGGAGGTCCCTGATGTTTTGATCCCCTGGATCCGCGCTGTTCGTCTCCAGCTCCGCGAGCAGTTCCAGTCGGACTTTCCTGTCCAGCGTCTGCACTCTGACAAAGGTGGTGAGTTCTCCTCAAACCTCTTAGCAGCCTTCTGTGCGGAGCACGGCATCCGCCAGACATTCACGCTTCCGGCCTCTCCGCAGCATAATGGGGTTGCTGAGCGCCGCATTGGCTTAGTCATGGAGGTCGCTCGTACCTCCATGATCCATGCGGCTGCCCCCCATTTTCTGTGGCCGTTTGCGGTCCGGTACGCCGCGCATCAGCTCAACCTCTGGCCCCGTGTCTCCTTGCTGGAGACCTCGCCCACACTGCTGTGGACGGGGAAGGTTGGCGATGCGTCGCGTTTCCGGGTCTTGGATGCTCGTGCCTTTGTCCGGGATACCACCGCGGACAAGCTCTCCGCCCGCGCTGTTCCCTGTGTCTTCCTTGGCTTTGTCCCTGACGCGCCTGGTTGGCAGTTTTACCACCCCACCTCGCGCCGTGTCTTCCCCTCTCATGACGTCACGTTCGATGAGTCGGTTCCCTTTTACCGTCTCTTCCCCTACCGCACTACCCCTCTTCCCCCCCCGCCGCTCTTCCTCGCTCCAGGTGCTCCCCAGGTAGACCCCCTCCCCGCTCCTGGTCCTGCTCCTTCAGGTGTGTCTCAGGTAGACCCTCCTCCCTTGACTGCGCCGGTTGAGGTCACTGGTGACTCAGGTCCTGCTGAGGTTGGTCCTGCTCGAGGTGCTGAGCCTGGGGGTGCGGAGCTTGGGGGTGTGGAGACTGGAGGTGCTGAGCCTGGGCGTGAGGAGTCTGGGGGTGCTGAGCCTGGGGGTACTGAGTCTGCAGGTGTTGCACCTGGGGGCGCTGAGGCGTCTGGTGAGCAGTCTCCCTGGAGCGGCCGTCTCCGTAGTCGCTCCGCCGGTGCCTCGCCGCTGCACTCTCGTCGACGACTCCCTCTCTCCCCACAGCAGCTGCATGAGTGGTACGTTGGCCGTCAGGGTCGCGCTGCTGGAGCTAAGGGCCCTGCTGCGGGAGGCGCTGGAGCTGGTGACTCTGCTACTGGAGTTGTTTCTGCTGGAGGTTCTAGAGCTGCTGAGGGTGCTGGAGCTGGAGATTCTGGAGCTGCTGGAGGTGCTGGCGCTAGTGGCGCTGGGGCTGGAGGTTCTGGAGCTGCTGCGGGCGCTGGCGCTGCAGGTTCTGGAGCTGCTGCGGGTGCTGGCGCTGAGGGTTCTGAGTCTACTATTGCGCGGTCTCCTTGGAGTAGCCGCCTTCGTCCGCGTGTGCCTCTCACCTCACAGCAGCTGCACGACTGGTACGGTCGCCGTTAGGATCGCGCTTCTGGAGCTCGGGGCTCTGCCGCTGGAGGTACTTCTGCTGACGTCACTGGAGCTGGGAGTGGTGCTGGTCCCGGAGGTGCTCGTACTGGAGGTACTGGAGCTGCTGGGGCTGGAGGTGCTAGGTCTATGGATGCTGAGGCTGGAGACCCTGGGACTGGAGGTGCCGGCTTTGGGGGTGCTGCTGCTGGTGGAGCTGGTCCTGGAGGAGCTGGCGCTAAGGGTTCTGGAGCTGCTGGAGGTGCTGGAGCTGCTGGCGGTGCTGGAGCTGCTGGTGCTGGTGGCACTGCACAGCCGTGCCTGTTCTTTACTCCACCGTCTCCGTCGTCTAAGCCACCGTCTGACTCTGTGCTTCACCAGGTTCTTAGTCTCCCTTCGTCTACTGGTCTTCCGTTACAGCCTGGCTCACCGCTGCCTGCTCCTTCTCCTTACATTGAGCAGACAGGGGGTCTTACTGAGCGTCGTAAGCCTGCGTCGCGTCCTGTCTCGCCTGTCCGTTCTGGTCGTTCCGGTCGTCGTGTTCCTCGTTCGTGTCAGCCGGCTGTCCCCGGCACCCACCTCGTAGTCCGTCGTCCTTCCTCTCCTCCGCAGCGTGTTCCCCTACCGTCCCCTCATGTGTCTTCTCTGCCTGCCGTTCCTGAGCTTGAGTCTGACCGCACCCGTGCTGCTCACCCTACTGTCACGCATCTCCTAGCCACAGTTGTCACTGACCCGTCGTTTGGGTCTGCTGTTGCGTCTGCCTTAGTCGCTGAGCTTGTTGACTTTGATGCTGCCTGTCGTCTAGACTACGCCACTAGTCTTGTTGTTGAGTCTGAGTCTGTCTGTCCTCTGTCCGTCGGGGGTGAGTGTGCTCTTGGCACGGACGTCCTTGAGGACAGGCACGAGGACCTTGAGTGTCTTGCAGCCGCTGCGCCTCATCTCGTGTCCATGCTGCTTGCCCCTGAGGGAGACCCGGATGCTCAAGACATCCCGACCCCGCGCTCTTACGCTGAGGCGATCGCGGGTGAGTACTCTTCTCAGTGGCAGACAGCCATGGACGCAGAGATGGCATCCTGGAAGTCCACAGGCACTTACGTCGACGAGGTTCCCCCTCCTGGGGCAAAAATCGTCAGTGGCATGTGGATTTTCAGGGTGAAGCGGCCGCTAGTTTCTCCTCCTCTCTTCAAGGCTCGTTATGTTGCTCGAGGTTTCAGTCAGTGAGAGGGAGTTGACTTCTTCCAGACGTTCTCCCCCACCACGAAGATGACCACTCTTCGGGTACTGATGCACGTTGCCGCTCAGCGTGACTACGACACACTGAGGACGACACTTGCTGCTCTTGGTTTTGCTCCGTCGACTGCTGACCCGTCGCTGTTTCTACGCACCGACACTTCGCTGCCGCCGTTCTACATACTCGTGTACGTCGACGACTTGGTCTTTGCCACTGCTGACACTGAGGCTCTTGCCCTAGTGAAGTCGGAGCTGCAGAAGAAACACACGTGCACAGACCTGGGTGAGCTGCGCAGTTACCTTGGCTTGCAGATCACCTGGGACAGAGCACGCCGCACCATCACACTGACTCAGACACACATGGTGCAGCAGGTCCTTCAGCGCTTCGGCTTCACCTGGTCCTCGCCACAGCCCACTCCTCTGGCTACAGGTCACTCGCTCTCAGCTCCACCTTCGGACGAGTCCGTAGAGCCGAGTAGTCCTTACCCAAAGCTAGTTGGCTGCCTCATGTACTTGATGACCTGCACTCGTCCTGACCTTGCGTACCCTCTTGGGCTTCTGGCTCGCTTCGTGGCTCCTGGTCAGCACCGAAAGGTGCACATGGATGCTGCTAAGAGGGTACTGCACTACTTGTGCAGTACATCGGGCATGGGGCTCGTCCTTGGAGGGCGGAGTCTAGTTGTCCTCACTGGGCACTCGGACGCTTCTTGGGTTGACGACCTGGCTACGCAGCGGTCGTCACAGGGTTACACCTTCAGCCTTAGCTCTGGCTCTGTTTCTTGGCGGTCTACACGCTCGTCCTCTGATCTCGGCTCCAGTTGTGAAGCTAAGATCTGCGCCATAGCCATGGCTGCACAGGAGTTACGCTGGCTCACCTACCTACTGACCGACCTTGGAGAGCGGCCTCGTTCTCCTCAAGTGCTGTACGTAGACAACTAGGCCGCCATTGTCTTGTGTCAGAAGCACAAACTGGAGCACAGAACGAAGCACATCGCTCCACGTTACTTCCTTGCTCGAGAGTTACAGCAGTGTGGTCAGCTTCGTCTTGCTCACGTGGCCACCCGGGCCAACACTGCTGATATATTCACCAAGGCACTTCTGTCTGGTGATCATCAGCGTTTTTGTACTTTGTTAGGCCTTGTGCCCACGTTTCCTCACTTGCTGTAGACTTTGGTTGTACTGTGATCTATATATATACCTGCATGCTTGCTTTGTTAGGTAGAGATTACTGTGCTGTTGTTGTTGCATATATACCTCTGCATGTGAACTGGCCTTGTGGCCCTTTGCTTGTGCTCAGTGTGTGTGGTGACGTTGTGATCCACCCTGAGCTTGCTTTGCTTCTCTTGACTGGTCTTGTGGCCCTTTGTTCTCCCCCACTTTGCCTATGGGGGTGTGTCAAAGTATATGCATGCTATATATATGTAGGCTGTAGTGGGGTAGCCAATATGGGGTACAGCCCCGTTTAGGGTTTCATACTTGTACCCTACTCTTCCATACTGCATTCATTCCTGCTGCTAGATTCTAACAAACATCTCTGAATCGAGCCTTCAATACAGGATCACCATTGCTGAACCAGACTACGACCAGAATGACAACAAAGGCATGCCATAATACCTCTAGTTCCTCCCTCCCCTCCCTTTTTCTCCTTCCCATCCTCTTTTTTCCCTCCCCCCCTCGCTCTCTTCCCTGCCCTTTCTCCCCTTCCCCCTTCTCCCTCACCCTTTCCCCCCTTCCCTCTTCTCCTCTTCCCCGTCTCATCCCAGGCTACAGGCATCTACTATTTCGACTCTAACAGCATTAATTAATTTCGCCTTCAATTCAGAATCACCGTTGCCCAACCAGACTATGACCAGAACGGCAACAAAGGCGTGGCTCGGATATACAGCCTGGTGGACGGCGGACCTCTCACCAAACCTCTAAGCTCAGTCCGGGCCGACATCCCGAACCTCTGCCTCGCCTTCCCTAACCACTACCACCACCGAGTCGCACCATTTGAGCTACAGGCCACCAGAAAATTCTTGTATCTACTGTGCGTGTGCCAGCTCAGCAGCTGAGCTGGCAGAGAAGGGAACTTGAAAGGAAAGGTTATCTGTGTCCTGTCCTGCCTGGGTTAGCTCTAAACCTAATTGCACAGGGAGTGGGTGCACTCACTCATGTCCTCTTTGTTCATTATATATCTACTTACTGATATTAACACCTAGAAATATATATATACAGGTATACTTAGAAAATCAGAATGACTGTTCAGATTTCCTCAGAAACGTTCTCAACCGATATCGCCAAACAGAAGTGAACCAAGTCGCAAGACAACCAATAATTTTCTTTCACATAGGCGAAATCCTAAACTCCTCAGTAACGTTCGGAAGTGGATCCTACCGAACAAAAATGAAATCCAAAGGTCTGCCTTCGATGTTCTCCTCTCAAATTCGACCAGGCTGACAGTCTTCCTCTCCCCCAACTGACCCCACTGCTGCAGCAAGTGGGGCTGGTGTGGCTCCACCGCCGATCACTGCGGCGCTGGCTGCCAGTCCCAGTGCTCCCCTTATGCCTCCTCGCCCACTCCGCCTCCCACCACATCCCCTTCCCCCCCTCCTCCTCCCCCATCCTCCTCCCCTTCTCCACCTTCCGCTTCTCCGCCGGCCCCGTCCGCCTCACCTCCGCCCCCAACTGGCTCCGCTCCCCCCCCAACCGGCTCTGCCCCCCCCCCAACCAGCTCCGCTCCCCCACCAACCGGCTCCGCTCCCCCCCCAACCGGTTCCGCTCCCCCCCCAACCAGCTCCGCTCCCCCCCCAACCGGCTCCGCTCCCCCCTCTACTGGGCTGCAGCGCATGGCGTATTTTGTCAACACGGTGGGCATGGACCCATCCCTCATCCCTGCTGCCAACCTCACGCATGTCTTCCTACGCCTTTGCTTCCATCAACACCAGCACATACCAGGTACGCGACTGTCTTGTCTCGTCATCCACTCTTCTCCGTCCCAATTGGAGCAGGTATTTATTTATCTATTTTTTTCCATACTCAGTCGTCTCATGCTTGTGAGTTTCTCATTCCGCTGCAAGGCACACTACATGTTTTTCGAGCTAGCAGTCTCGGCTGCCTCATTCCCCACGAGAAGGTTCTCTTGCCTCTCAGACTCAGATGCGCTGTTTCGTTTCCCCCTCTCAGATTCCTACACCTTGATGACCTATCACCTCCCATGTTTCTTCCCTCCCCATTCCAGGTCGTCCCTTCCAACCCAGCCGTCGATGTGACCCAGGGCCTCTATCGGCGCTTCAACTCCGCTGTAAAGGCCGCCAACCCCGCCATCAAAACCCTCCTCTCCATCAGCGGCTATGTCGACGTTTTTGACAACAACGTTATCGGCAACGCCTCCTCCTCCCCGTCCTCCCGCTCTGCCTTTATTCAATCCGCGATCGCCCTCGCCCGCACGTACAGCTTTGACGGCCTGGATGTCTACTGGAAGTACACAACTGGCAACGCCACCCTGGTCTCCGCCCTGCTCACGGATTTCCGGGCGGCGATCGAATCCGAAGCTGCCGCCTCTGGGAAATCGAAGCTTCTGCTTTCTGCGGCAATTCCTGCCTACGGGCAGACTGAAGGTCTATCCTATGACGCCCCGACGCTTAACAAAACACTGGATTTTGTGAATTTTAAGACTTACGATCTGTCTGGGTGGAGGACCCTCATGCACACTGCTCTGGAGGACCCGAGCAACCCCCAGAAGAGCATCAAGGGTGCCATGGCTGCCTTGGTGTCCCGAGGCTTGGCCCCAAGCAAGGCCATGGTAGGCTTGGCGATGTACGGCCAAACCTGGACTCTTGCTTCGACAAACAGCACTGGGGTTGGAGCTCTTGCCGTTGGGCCTGGTCAGCCTGGGCCTATCAGTCAGGCTAGTCCCCTTTTCCTGGTTCTCCTCTGCATCGTGTGTCCCTCCCTTCCTCGCATAATCACGAACCATTTTGTGTTTCCCCTACGTTTCCTTCTTTCTCTCCTTGCTCTTACAATTGCAGGGTACTCATTCCTGTTCCTAAAAGATGCAAGCAATCAGCCCCAAGCAGGCTCTCATCACCCTCTTCCTTGGCCTGCATATTCCCTATCCCTCTCCACCCCTCCCACAGAAACCTGGTATCCTCTATTACAAGGAAATCGAACAGCTGGTAACCACTGGAGGTTACACAGCTAAGCTCGACGCCCCAACATTCTCTATGTATGCAGTGAAGGGTGACCAGTGGGTTGGTTACGACGACCCTTCCACCATCACCACCAAGGTTCAGTTTGCCAAGGCGCAAGGCTATGGAGGGTGGTTCTTCTGGGAACTGAGCCAGGATGCCAATTATGCTCTGCTCAATGCTGCAGTAGCTGCATGAGATGAAAGCCACAGTAATGAATCTTATGCTTGTTAATTTTTGTTTCTAGTGTAGACGCGTTTAATTGGAGTCAGGTGAATATGTCACTGTTTCAATCGAGACAGAAATGCACCCGTTTTTTCAAACTCGTGATTCAACCTGTCCAACTAGAGGGTACCGCAGCTGTTTAGTGAACTGAGCCATGATGCCAACAATGCTCTTCTTGATGCTGCAGCCCCTGCATGAGATGAACCTTTTGTAGACACCGTGAAAAAAACAATATTCCATTGATTCATCTGTTCGAAGTGTAGACAAGTTGATTGGTGGTCTGTCAGTTGGGGGTGAATCACATCGCTCTGCCCCCATGCACAATGCAGCAGCAGTCCCTCCCAATCACACCACCCTCCCTCCCACCCGCCATCTCGCCCCTCGTTGCTGCCAGCTGCGCTACAACTGCCCGTATTGAGCCTGGAGGAGCAGGCAGAGCCGCACATGCCGCCCGCAATTGCAGAGCCACAGCATGCAATTCGCAGCAGTCCCTCCCAGTCACACCACTCTGCCGCCCGCCATCTCCTCCCCCGTTGCCGCCAGTTGCGCCCACCTGCCGCCCGCCGCCGCCCCTGCTGAACTGGCGGAGTCTCTCAGACTGCCGTCCGCCTCGAGCTTCGCCTGCACCTGCCTCGCCATCAGGGCTAGGCCTGGGGATACGTAGTGACACGGGCGAAGAAAGGCAGAAAAAGGGCATGTTGAGACGTCTACAGGTGTTGCAGAGTGAATTGGGAGTGGGAATGCTGTCTGCCTCGGGCTTCGCCTGCACCTGCTTTGCCATGAGGGCCAAACCTGAGCGGCACAGGCGAACAGGGAGAAATTGTAGAGTGTAGAGTGAATGCATTGTACAGAGTTACATTAGCATTGATTGCCGCTGAACAAGTTACAGTGGCCGTGTCCCGCCTTCAGCTTCGCCTGCACCTGCCTCGCCATGAGGGCTGGCCTAGCCCTGGGGGGCTATTGAGAATAGCAAGGAAACATTGTAGAGTGGATGTGGATTAAAACTGGGATAGAATACCCACTTGGTCATTTAACCAACTTCGAGAAATCAGTTGGCCTGATGGCTTGATGCAGTGGATGGAAAGTTGTACAGTGTTTGCATGACAGAGGCTCATCCCCTCACCCACTCCAACCAGCACACCCAACAGACTCACACTCCCACACTCCCACACACCCACACTAACACACTCCCACACACACGGAGCCATCCACAACCCCACACACCCACCCTGCACCATGCGGCTGACAGCCGTCCACCGCTTTTCTTCCCACAATGCATGATACAAGCTCATCCTCTCATCCTCTCACCCACTCGCCCAATCACACTCACCAAGTCACCCACATGCTTACTTCCACCCCCCCATACGCACACACATACCCACAATCCTACAATCTACCCACACTCACACTCACACCCACACCCACACCCACACACACACCCACACTCACACTCACACTCAACACCCACACCCACACTCACACCCACACCCACACTGACACCCACACCCACACTTACACCCACACCCGCACCCACACCCACACCCACACTCACACCCTTCCCTTGCCCCCGACCCCTTTCCCTTTTTCCACCCACACCCACACCCACACCCACACTCACACCCACGGCTGAGTCAACCTACTCACCCTGCACCACGCGGCTGACAGCCGTCCACCACTTGTCTTCCGACAGCTGTCGCCTCGTCAGCGCTGACGAGATCTCCTCACTGCGCTGCCCAGACAGCACCGCCTGCAGCACCTGGGCGGCATCCCTTGTCTCTTCCAGCACGCCTCTCTGCAGTGGCGAGATAAGAGCGGGAGAGAGACAAGAGGCAAGAGACAAGGACGTGGAAATAAAGAGAGAGCAATTGGGTGTTGGTTAATTGTGACAACAAACGTGTGAGAGTTGTGAGCACGCTCAAAAACCACATTTGGTAATCTTGACACTCGTCTCTTGACAGTTGAGTGCCAACACCTAAATGTCTGACATGTGGTTCTTGGACAATTACATGTGGCACTCAAGAGCCTTCAGCCATATGTCTCTAAGGACAATTACATGTGGCACTCAAGAGCCTTCAGCCATATGTCTCAAAGGACAATTACATGTGGCACTCAAGAGCCTTCAGCCATATGTCTCAAAGGACAATTACATGTGGCACTCAAGAGCCTTCAGCCATATGTCTCAAAAGACAATTACATGTGGCACTCAAGAGCCTTCAGCCATATGTCTCAAAGGACAATTACATGTGGCACTCAAGAGCCTTCAGCCATATGTCTCAAAGGACAATTACATGTGGCACTCAAGAGCCTTCAGCCATATGTCTCAAAGGACAATTACATGTGGCACTCAAGAGCCTTCAGCCATATGTCTCAAAGGACAATTACATGTGGCACTCAAGAGCCTTCAGCCATATGTCTCAAAGGACAATTACATGTGGCACTCAAGAGCCTTCAGCCATATGTCTCAAAGGACAATTACATGTGGCACTCAAGAGCCTTCAGCCATATGTCTCAAAAGACAATTACATGTGGCACTCAAGAGCCTTCAGCCATATGTCTCAAAAGACAATCACATGTGGCACTCAAGAGCCTTCAGCCATATGTCTCAAAGGACAATTACATGTGGCACTCAAGAGCCTTCAGCCATATGTCTCAAAGGACAATTACATGTGGCACTCAAGAGCCTTCAGCCATATGTCTCAAAGGACAATTACATGTGGCACTCAAGAGCCTTCAGCCATATGTCTCAAAAGACAATTACATGTGGCACTCAAGAGCCTTCAGCCATATGTCTCAAAGGACAATTACATGTGGCACTCAAGAGCCTTCAGCCATATGTCTCAAAAGACAATCACATGTGGCACTCAAGAGCCTTCAGCCATATGTCTCAAAGGACAATTACATGTGGCACTCAAGAGCCTTCAGCCATATGTCTCAAAGGACAATTACATGTGGCACTCAAGAGCCTTCAGCCATATGTCTCAAAGGACAATTACATGTGGCACTCAAGAGCCTTCAGCCATATGTCTCAAAGGACAATTACATGTGGCACTCAAGAGCCTTCAGCCATATGTCTCAAAGGACAATTACATGTGGCACTCAAGAGCCTTCAGCCATATGTCTCAAAGGACAATTACATGTGGCACTCAAGAGCCTTCAGCCATATGTCTCAAAAGACAATCACATGTGGCACTCAAGAGCCTTCAGCCATATGTCTCAAAGGACAATTACATGTGGCACTCAAGAGCCTTCAGCCATATGTCTCAAAGGACAATTACATGTGGCACTCAAGAGCCTTCAGCCATATGTCTCAAAGGACAATTACATGTGGCACTCAAGAGCCTTCAGCCATATGTCTCAAAAGACAATTACATGTGGCACTCAAGAGCCTTCAGCCATATGTCTCAAAGGACAATTACATGTGGCACTCAAGAGCCTTCAGCCATATGTCTCAAAGGACAATTACATGTGGCACTCGAGAGCCTTCAGCCATATGTCTCAAAAGACAACTACATGTGGCACTCAAGAGCCTTCAGCCATATGTCTCAAAGGACAATTACATGTGGCACTCAAGAGCCTTCAGCCATATGTCTCAAAAGACAATTACATGTGGCACTCAAGAGCCTTCAGCCATATGTCTCAAAGGACAATTACATGTGGCACTCAAGAGCCTTCAGCCATATGTCTCAAAGGACAATTACATGTGGCACTCAAGAGCCTTCAGCCATATGTCTCAAAGGACAATTACATGTGGCACTCAAGAGCCTTCAGCCATATGTCTCAAAGGACAATTACATGTGGCACTCAAGAGCCTTAAGCCATATGTCTCAAAGGACAATTACATGTGGCACTCAAGAGCCTTCAGCCATATGTCTCAAAAGACAATCACATGTGGCACTCAAGAGCCTTCAGCCATATGTCTCAAAAGACAATTACATGTGGCACTCAAGAGCCACATGTGAGAGGACGAGAATCAGCATGGAAACAGGGGAACATGGAGGAGTATGAGACACGGGTGAGAAGCATAGGAAAAGGAGTAAGGTCCGATTCTGGCTTGCGAGGTGAATGGGATGGGTTGCTGCCAGCCCTGGTGTGGTGTGGAAGGGAAGCTGCACCTGGAAGGATTTTTTAGGCTCCTCAATAATCAGCTTGCGAAGTGAATGGGTGGCTGCCAGCCCTGGTGTGGAAGGGAAGCTGCACCTGGAAGGTCGGTGGTTGTGTGACGGCCACAAGTGCGTTGCTCTCTCCCTCCTCCCCCTCACTGTCGTTGCACATGGCCTGCATGCAACCCAGAGGGGGTAAGATTCATCATGAGAACGAGCTTTGAGGCACCTAAAGAATCAAGTACGTCACTTTCTCCGTCTCCCCCCTTCGCTGCGATTGTACCTGGCCTGCACAGAGCAAACCGTAGGGAGTCGTGTTATTATAGAGTATTTTTTCCCGTTAATTATCGAGCCATGTTTTTCAGGCGCCTAACCCATGGATGGTACAATAGGGTGGATAGACCGCACTACACCACTGCTGACCAGCCCAGACCTGTCTCAACCGTTGTGGAACCAATTTAGAGAGAGTGGAGAGACCGCACTGCACCACTGAGCAATTTGAGGCGCCTCAGAGTCTCAGACGCAGCTGCTGCAGCTGCAGCGCCGGAGAGGCAGTGTGCTCGTCTGACCAACGCCCCCCCTCCCACTGCCAGCTCCCCCACTGCCAGCCAGCTCCCCCACTGTCAGCCAGCTCCCCCACTGCCAGCCAGCTCCCCCACCGCCAGCCAGCTCCCCCACTGCCAGCCAGCTCCCCCACTGCCAGCCAGCTCCCTCACTGCCACACTGCTCGTCTGCCGACACTTGCAAACAATCACCTGCAACCGGGCAACTCTGAAGTGTGAAGGCAATGTGGGAGCACACACCTGCAAATCCTTCTGGGAATATGTGCGAGTGAGAGAGCCAGCGCCCACTGCGCGGCAGTGGCCCACCGTCACGTCACACTGAAACTGAGACCATGCACCCCAGTAGCATGTACCTGCATCCTGCAAGCAAGCCGCTCTATGGTACATCACCCACCTAACGATTCATCTGTGAGGAAGTGAGCATGAGAGCCAGCGCCCACTGGGCTGCTGTGGCCCACCGCCACTCTGGGACTGAGAGGGACGCACACGTGCAGTCACTCACTTGGTGATGCTCACCTGCAGCGACACACCTCTATAGCACGTACCTGCAGATCCCTCTGTGAGGAGGTGAGCGTGAGAGCCAGGGCCCACTGGGCGGCAGTGGCCCACCGCCACTTGGCCGCCTCGCGCGCCATCTGCTTCTCCTGCACCGCCGCCCGGCCGGCAAGCTCGTCTGCTAGCGCCACCTCCCCCAGAGCCACACTGCGCAGATACTTGGCGGTCTGAGGGCCCGTGCTGCGCACCATTGCTGCGAAGACACTGGCCTCGTTCAGGACTAAATTGGCTGGCGTGTCGTACTCCAAGGCCTGGGGGAAGGGCAGGAGAGGTAAAGAGGTGGAGAGGCGGTGGAGGTAGAGTGGGTACTTGGCGGTTTGAGGCCCCGTGCTGTGCACCATGGCTGCGAACACACTGCCTTCGTTTTATACCAGGTTGGCAGGAGTGTCGTAATCCAGGCCTGGGAGAGGGAATGAGCAGAGGAGGAGGAGGAGGAGGAGGAGGAGGAGGAGGAGGAGGAGGAGGAGGAGGAGGAGGAGGAGGAGGAGGAGGAGGAGGAGGAGGAGAGCCTTGAAGACACCCACAGAAGAGGGAGGAGGAAAGGGTGAGGGTAGAGGCAGAAGAGCGGGCGAGGGAAGGGGTGGGTCCGCAGAGAGTGGGTGGGTCCGCAGAGAGTGGAGGCAGTTGGCATGGAGTACAAAGCGTTGCCCCAAATGTTGGAGTCTGTAAAAGACTCGGTGGACGAGGCGATAGTGCGTGCGGCTTCTGAGGGGCAGGCGAGAAAATGGAGACGTTGAGGAGGCCGGTACTGGTGACTTTTGAGTCGACTCAAAAGTCACCTCATTGAGGAGGCCGGTACTGGTACTCGGTATCGTTGCAAGTTCGTAGCAAGAACGGAAATAAGCAACAATGGCTTAAAATGAGCGCTTCTTGGAAACGCTGAAAGGAGAGATACTAGGTGTAAGCCTCACCACAGGGAATAATATAGAATCAATTCAGCTCACCATGCCAGCATCCATGACCAGAACCTGTCGCTATCCATGATGGTGTTGAGATGGTGAGTGATTGTGAGGATGCCAAGTTGAGGACAAGAGGTGTCAAACCAAATAAACTCACCATGCCAGCATCCATGACCAGGATGCGGTCGCTATCCATGATGGTGTTGAGCCGGTGAGCGATGGTGGATAGGCGATAAGACGTATCATTATTAAACCAAACTAGCTCACCATGCCAGCATCCATGACCAGGATGCGGTCGCTATCCATGATGGTGTTGAGCCGGTGGGCGATGGTCAGCATGGTGCGCCCCTTGAACTCCTCGCGCACCGTCCGTTGGATCAGCGCATCCGTGCCCACATCAACGGCTGCCGTCGCTTCATCCAGCACCAGAATTCGCGACTCCTTCAGCAGCGCCCGTGCAAGGCTGATCAGCTGCCTCTGCCCCACACTGAAGTTCTCCCCTCCCTCTGCCACCTGTATGAGAGGAGAAGGGGTTATGGGGGTAGGAGCGGGGAAGGGCATGGCAGCAGCAGAAACCGCAATGGGGTCCAGGGTTCAGGGTTTAGGCTTTAGGGTTCAGGGTTTAAAGTTTAAGGTTCCGGGTTTAGGGTTTAGGCTTTAGGGTTCAGGGTTTAAAGTTTAAGGTTCTGGGTTTAGGGTTTAGGCTTTAGGGTTCAGGGTTTAAAGTTTAAGGTTCTGGGTTTAGGGTTTAGGCTTTAGGGTTCAAGGTTTAAAGTTGAAGGTTCTGGGTTTAGGGTTCCGGGTTCTCCCCACCCCTCTACGGCTGGTGCTCCACCCTCAACGATAGACGAAGTTCAACCACTCTGCTTCAGGTACCACCTCCCCCAGGTGGCACCTCAGAATTACCACCTCCTGCCACGACTTTCTTCCCTTCCCTTTGGCCCTCACCTCCGTGTCCAGCCCCACCCCAGCCCCAGGGGCATGCGGGCGAGATACCACCTCCCTCAGGTAACACCTCAGTACCAGCACTCTCCAGATACAACTATCTCCCTTTTCCCCTCGACTCACCTCCGTGTCCAGCCCCAGTGGCATGCGAGATACCACCTCCCTCAGGTGGCACCTCCCTCAGGTGGCACCTCCCTGAGGTGGCACCTCCCTCAGGTGGCACCTCCCTCAGGTGACACCTCGGTACCAGCACTGTCCAGCTACAACTATCTTCCCTTCCCTCACACTCACCTCTGTGTCCAGCCCCAGCGGCATGCGAGATACCACCTCCCTCAGGTGCGCCCTGCCCAGCGCCTCCCACACCTCGCTGTCACTGCGCTCGCTGAACGGATCCAGGTTGAACCGCAGCGTGCCTGGGGGGGGTGGAGGAGGAGGGAAGAGAGGGGAGGGGGGGGGGACGGGGGGGGAGAACAGGACATTAGGGAGGATGGCCAGGTGGGATACAGTCGAGAGCTCATTAAGCCCCACCTGTTGCTCCCACACAGTGAATTTCGAGGCACATCAAAAACTTGGTGACATGATTCAGATTGATTTGACCTGGAGGGACATGGAGTGTGGCTGGGCTGGGGAGCAGCAAGAGGGGGAGGGGAGCGGGTGTGGCGTGGAAGGGGGAAAGGAAGATGAAAGGCAGGTGAAGCTGTACGTTGCCAAACCCCAAAGATGATTGGATTCGGGGTTAGAGACAATCAGGAAGCGCAAAAACTAGACCCTCATTCTTAACTATACCCCCAATAACATAAAAAAACCTGCATCCTTTTCAGCACTGAACTGAAGAGCCGACTTCTCAGTTGACTTGAAGTCACCTGAATTCTTTTGAGGCGCCTCAAAAGTTGACTTGAAGTCACCTGAAATCGAATTACCAGTGAAGAAACCTGGTGTTTGAGACTCTGAGGGATGATCATGAGCGCATGTCGCACGTCCGTCACACCCCGGGTTTCCCACGCCTAAACCCCTAACCTCAGTCTCAGGCCCACCTCGAGTACTATCAAGGCTTCCCCAAACACCTTTTGAGGCATTCCGCCCTTCAAGCACGATGCTCAAGGGGTTGCGTTCCGCCCCGAGCTATGAGGCGCCGCAAAATTAACCCCTAACCTCAGTCTCAGGCCCACCTCGAGTACTATGAAGTCTTACCCAAACACCTGTCAGGCCCATCAGTCTTTCTCATCGATGAAGAGCTTAGTGGGAATATACGCGTATAGCGTATATATGCTTATCGTATATACGCTAACGTATATACGCTAAACGCTGAAGGGTCGGCTTTGGGAATCCGCTTTTTCGGGCAGGAAAAAAAATCCCGGGCAGGGTGAAAAACAATGTCGTGCTCAACATCGGGAAGGTATTCCATATTCTCACTAAGAATTTCGTAGCATTCTCCTAAGTCTGAACTTCGATTAGGGTGGGATGTGTAGTAGACACTATCGCTAGAAGGAAAAGTAGGAATCGGGATGAGCTCTGTTGGGAAGCGGGAAATGTCAAGTGCAGTTGGGCTGGCTGGTTAGTAGCGTGAGTGGGGTTTGTTGGGGGGACGTTTTTGACAGGTTGGATTTCGTAGATGGGATGGATTTCAATGCGGTACTAAACAAAATTGTAGATCTGAACTGCCAGATGCAATTGAAGGCACATTCCCGCTTCCCTACAACCCTGAATTGCACCTCGACTTCCGCGAAATGCTCACCAGGAGATTCCGCATCTTTCCGTATACACATGAATTTTTTTCCCGGGCAGCCCCTAAATAAATCTGAAAGCGTATAGCGTATTAGCTAGCGTATAGCGTTTTGCGTATGAACGCAAGCGTATATACGCTATACGCTTTAGGTTCTGAGCGTATATTCCCACTAAGATGAAGAGAACAGGTGTTTTGGGAATGAGCATGAACAGGTCTTTCTCGAGAGCACACCACACGCCTGTCAGTCAAAGAACAGCCTAAGCTCTCATCCCTGCACCTTGAATGCTCTCTATGTCCTCTCACCGGTAAAGGGCACAGGCGTTTGGGGAAAGTTCATGAGAGCACGGTGCAGGTCCGATGCTCCAAACAGCTCCCATGTCTAGCCCGCAGAACCCTGAGATTCTTCACCGCAAAGACCACAGGAGACCCTGTGCCTTTCCTCTCACCAGTGAAGAGCACGGGGATTCTGAAGAATGATCATGCGAGCTTGAGTTGAGTGTGCAGCGCACGTCCGTCACTTGACAAAAGCTTCCATCCGTCACTTGAGTGTGCAGCGCACGTCCGTCACTTGTCAAAAGCTTCCATCCACCGGTGGAGAACCCAGTGGACGTGGACCCATTAGATGGAAGCTTCAACAACATTAGATGGTTTGCATCTTCCTCACCAGTGAAGAGCACGGGCGTTTGGTGGATGATCATGAGCGCATGAGTGTGCCGTGCACGCCCCCATTACTTGAGGAAAACCAAAACCTCAGACTGAGCCTTTTCACCTTGGGAATCCCAAGCCTTTCTCACCAGTGAAGAGCACGGGCGTCTGGGGGATGATCATGAGCGCACGGCGCACGTCCGTCACTCCAAACAGCTTCAGATCCTGACCGTCGATGCAGATGCGCCCGCTCTCGATCTCGGCCAATCGGAAGAGTGAGTTGAACAGGGACGACTTGCCTGCAGAGACAAGGGCATGAGAAGGTGGGTCGCATGGGGTATGAGAGAGGTGGAGGAGTGGAATACGAATTTCTCCCCAGCAGGCCGACCTTCTCCCACCCCCCCCTCCCACCAACACAGTAAGACCCCCTCAGCACATATGCAGCGAAGAGACATACCCTCAGCCAAGGCAGCAAGCGACTCTCACGACACAGACATACCCTCTCACATGCGCCAGTCCTCCCCACCACGCCGACCTTCTCTCCACCCCGCACCAGGGCAGGTCCGGCCGGTACCGCATCACCACGTCCTCAAATAACTCCTCCCTTTCAGCATGAGACGAGCTGTCACATAAGCACAGTCACACTCTCTCACCTGCGCTAATGCGCCCCAACCAGCACAGAGAACCCCCACAGCAGGAAATGATTCTCCCTTAAACACTGACAGACTCTCACTCTCACCTGCCCCAGTGCGCCCCACCACTCCAACCTTCTCTCCTCCCTGCACCAGGGCACTGAGCCCTCTCAGCACGGGTGGCAGGTCTGGCCTGTACCGCATCACCACGTCCTCAAATAACACCTCCCCCTGCTGCGGCCACCCGGGCGGCGGGCGGTGGCTCGGAATGATGGCCGGCGCCTCGGCGGGGATGTCAGCGTAACTGCCCACTCGCTCCACCGCATTGAACGAGTTCTCTGAAGGAAACAAACGTGATAACGGGGGAATGGGGCCGAGAAAGGAGGGTGTAAGGAAGGGGGTGGTGGTGGGGGGAATTCATTGTAGGCACTTCGGGAGGGATGTCGGACTAGCTGCCAACCAGGGTGTTTTTGAGAATTCTCAAAAACACCCTGCAGCATCAGGGATGTTGGACTAGCTGCCAACCAGCTCCACCGCGTTGAACGAGTTCTCTGAAGGAAATAGAGGGTGATAAAGGGGGGGATGGGGAAGGGGAGGAGGGTGTGAGGAATGAGGTGGAGGAGGGGAATTGATTGTAGGAGCTTGGGAAGAGATGTCAGCGTAACTGCCAACCAGCTCCACCGCGTTGAAAGAGTTCTCTGAAAGAAAATAGGAGAATAATATAGTACGGGGGAAATGGGTTTGTCGGAGGAAAGGACAGGCAGAGGAGGAGCAGGGGAGGAGGGAGGGAGACTGTTGGCTCGGAATGATGGCGGACGATTCGGGGGCGAAGGGGCCCGGGAGAGGGGGAGAGGAAGAGGGGATGTGATCTCAGCGAGCAAAGGCTTCCCAGCGACAGAGAGCAGTCAGTCGGAGCACCATGGTCATCATGGCTGTTATGTTATGTGCTTTGAGTGTAAGCATCTACTCACGTAGCCCCACACCAGCAGCACGCGAAGCAGCACTCACCAGCAACGGAGAGCAGTCTGAGCACCATGGTCTTCATGGGGGTGATTTGCAGTGCGCACGACTAAATCAGCCCCATGACTGGCGCCAATGCAGCCCTAAGTGCCCCTGGCAATACTGACACCAGAATGAGGTCAGTGCCTTACCAGCGACGGAGAGCAGGCGCAGCACCATGGTCATCATGGCAGTGATTTGCAGCGCGTACGACAGAATGAGTCCCATCACCGGCGCCAGTGCTGCCTGGTCGCCCGCCCGCTGCACATCCATCACTGCGAATACAGCCGTGGCTGGAAGGGGGATAGAAGGGTGCAATGCGGTGAAGTAAGGTGCAGGGGGATTGAGGGAGGGAGATGCGAGGAACTCAAGACAGAATGAGTCCCATCACCGGCGCCTGTGTGCCGACTCATCGCCCGACCTCACCACATCCATAACTGCGAGTTCTGCTGTGGCTGTGGGGGAACAGAAGGGTGCAATGCGGTGGGGTTGGGCACAATGGGATAGAGGGAGGTACGATGCGGTGAAGCGAGATGTAAAGTAAACGCAATGTAGTGAGACTACGAGCCTGACTTTTAGATCCAGTGGTGAAGAAACAGAGAGGAAGGAAGGTCATGACGTTCATGTGAAGAAAGCAATGAAGGAAAAGAGGATACTCCTGAAGTTCAGGCATGCCCTGGACCACAAAAGGATGACCGAAGATCATGAGTCCGCCCAGGAATTCGAGGCGGATGGCGAGAGCCAGCGGTTGGTGAATCACCTGAACCGAGGCAAACCCGGAACCCTGAACCCTGACCCTTGAACCCCTAACCGAGGTAACATATTACCAAAGATCATATTACCCAAGATCATATTACCAAAGATCATATTACCAAAGATCATATTACCAAAGATCATATTACCAAAGATCATATTACCAAAGATCATATTACCAAAGATCATATTACCAAAGATCATATTACCAAAGATCATATTACCAAAGATCATATTACCCAAGATCATGAGTCCGCCCAGGAATTCGAGGCGGATGGCGAGCCAGCGGTTGGCGCTCATGCTGACAAGGGTGAAGCGCGTGTTGCGGTCCACCGCCCGCCCGTTCATCCCCGCCATGCGCGCCGCTGCCCTGTACGCCCTTATGGTTGCTAGCCCGTTCAGTGCCTCCGCGAACTGAGAGGGGGCAAGGCGAAGCAGGAACCCCGAATTGGAGAGGAAAATGGAGTGGGAAAACCGGGGCAGGGGGGAGGGAAGGCCAGAAAGTGGCGGGATTTAGGGGAGGTATGTATGTGTATGGGTGGGTTGGCGCTCATGCTGACGAGTGTGAAGCGTGTGTTGCGGTCCACCGCCCGCCCGTTCATCCCCGCCATGCGCTGTGCTGCCCTGTACGCCCTTATGGTTGCCAGCCCGTTCAGTGCCTCCGCGAACTGAGAGGGGGGTGGGGTGGTGTGTGTGAGGAAGAAGAGGGGTGGGGAGAGGGGTTAGACAGCCCGCTCGTTCATCCCCGCCTTCCGCCCTGCTGCCCTGTATGCCCTAACGGTTACCAGCCCGTTCAGTTGCCTCGGTGAATTCAGAGAAAGGTCGGGGTGGGGTTCATGGGAGTCAAGGAGGAGAAAAACGATGGTATGCATGCACACAAATACGCGTGCGCACGCACACAGACACACACATTCACACCTGCGAGTACACAGGCGACCGAGTGACAGAGTCCCAGCGCTTGACCTCTCATGCCGTGCAGTCCTCAGGAAGTAGAGGTAGACGATATAGAAGAGCAGCAGCAGCGGCACGATGGCCACCCAGGTGTGCTTCGAGTTATCCCAAGCCCTACTTGCACGCTAGCAGAAATCTACAGGAACCAGAAAGAGAGAAGCCACGTGTAAACAGAAGTGTTTTGAGACGTCTCAAAACACTTCTGTTTACACACAGGTGTGCTTCGAGTTATCCCAAGCCCTACTTGGCTGGAGGCATAGCAGGGTGTGCTTCTAGTCAGCCCAAAGCCCAAGCCGTACCTGTGAGTAGACGGGAGAGCGCGTCACCGAGTCCCAGCGCTTGACTTCCCGTGCGGTGTTTTGGAAGTAGAGGTAGACGATATAGAAGAGCAGCAGCAGCGGCACGATGGCCCAGAGGGCGACGGTGTTGAGAACGCCGATGAGGGCGAAGGTGGAGAGCAGCTGGAAGATGCCGCCCAGGCACAGCGACGTGTACTGTGCGAGGTTTTTATCGATGTCGGCTGTATCTTTAGTGAAGCGGTTAATAAGACGACCCACCTGCAGGAAGGGGAGGGGAAAGAAGGGGTGGGTGTGGGGGAGGGGGGTATGCTGTTGAGGCAGAGAGAGACGTGTACTGTGCAGAATTCGTGTCTATGTCCGCTGTATAGTTCCACTCCACATCTGGGGTGGAGGGTAGAGGGGAGGGGCGAAGCGAATACACACTTCAGGCAGAACGAAGTGTACTGCTTGTGCCATTCTCTGCTGGGGCTGTTGCCGGTGCTGGTGTTGTTGCTGGCGTTGGTGCTGGAGCTAATGTCGGGCCTGATCCTGCTGCTGGGGCTGATGTAGGTGCTGTTGACAGTGGTGGTGTTGCTTCTGGGGTTGCTGGATTTGCTGCTGGTGCTAAGGCAGTTGCCGGTGCTGGTCTTACTGCTAGCGTTGGTGCTGGAGAAGATGTGCAATATCAGAGGAACGACTCACGGGGTTTGTGTGAAAGAAGGACATGGGGGCGCGGAGAATGGCCGCCAGCATGGCATCGTGCAGACGACGGGCCGCTCGCTGGGAGGAGAACACCTGCAAGGTGCGGAGGAGAGGAGAAAGAAGGAAGAAGTAGGTCAAGAAATGAGAGAGAGAGGAAAAAAAACAAAAAAGGCACACACAAACACAGACTGATGAAGCAGTGTCGAAAATAGTGGTTTTTTTTCAGAACATAAGTCATAAGGGTCGTCAACAAATCTCCTGCCACAAATATCAAAATTCAGTACAAGCATGGCTGGAAACCAGCAGGTGACACTTCTTCCCCGGCTGACTAATTGCTAGTATCAACCAGCCAACCAATCAACCAATAAGCAGTGTGAGCTCACGAGGAAGTATTGGTTGGCGAAGGTGAGCAGCACTTGGCCCAGCGAGATGAGCGAATACCCCGCCACGAAATACAGCGACCCATGCCCACCACCCTCCTCCTGAGAAACACTCCCCGTCCACACGCTGATCCACACGCTGGCCAGCACCCTGGCGGCCTCCACGAGCACGTAGAGCGAGATGAGCACCGCCAGCACGCCCGTCCCCCCCATGGCCCTCACATACCGCCACACCACCGCCGCGCTCACCACCCCCTGCGCCTTATCCTCTGTTTGGACTAGGGTCGTTCCCCCTGCCCCGCCTTTCTCCCCCTTCCCCGCTCCGCTCTTCTCCCCAGCCCGGTTGCTGCTGCGAGAATCGCCGTTCGCTGCTGCAGCAGAGTCACTGCCACCACCACCACCACTACTGCTGCTGCCAGCTGTTGCAGCTGCCGCTGCCGCTTCAGCGCTCGTCTCACCTCCACCACTGCCCGCGTCCCCTGCTGTTTCCCCTCCCTCCCCCCCCACCTCCGCGTCCCCGTGCTCCTCCAGCGCGCCTGCCTTCTCCAGCAGCCTCTGGAACTTGGGTGCCGACGCCTTCAGCTGCACATACGGCCCCTGCTCTGCTATGCGCCCCCCCTCCACCATCACCACCCAGTCCACGGCTGAAGAGGGGGAGAGCGAGGGAGAGGGGAGAGCGGGGAGAACGGGAGAGGGGAAAGAGATGAAAAGAGTGAGGGGAGATCATAGAGTGGAAGGACGTTCTTGAGTAACAGAAATATGATGAGATGGTTTCTACCAACTAAAGTACCTGGCAGAAAGTGCAGCTGGTTTGTGACCATGATGCGCGTGCGGCCGGCAAGCTCTGTCCTCACACACGTGTCGTACACCTGCGCGGAGCCATGGAATAAGAGGCACATCACAAGCACGTGAGAATTATAAAAAGGAAACTCGCATGCAGCAAACCCATGATGACATGTTCCCAAACCCCAAGCCCAAAGCATCAAGCCAACGAGGTGACTTTTGAGTCGACTCAAAAGTCTCCCAAACCCCACGCCCAGACCAGAGCATCAAGCCACCCACCCACCTGCTTGGCGATGTGGGGGTGTCGAGGGTGGAGAGCGGGTCGTCGAAGAGTGAACAATAAGCATCAGAGTAGACCGCTCTGCTAGCCCCAGTTCACTCTCCCGCACGTGAAAGATGTGAGTTTTTGAGGCGTCTCAAAAACTCACTTTCTCCTGCGCGGTGACTTTCACTGCCCGCAAACCTCAAACCTTGAGCTGCAAGCCCCATACCCCAAGCCCCATACCCCAAGCCCCATACCCCAAGCCCTGAAACCCCAATCCCCAAAACATAGACCCACCTGCTTGGCGACGTGGGCGTCGAGGGCGGAGAGCGGATCATCGAAGAAGAAGACATCAGCATCAGAATAGACCGCTCTCGCGATGCTGATGCGCTGCTTCTGCCCGCCGCTCACGTTCACTCCCCTCTCGCCTATCTCCGTCAGGTCCCCCCCTGGCAGCAGCTGCAGGTCCCTCTCCAGGGCGCTCACTCTCACTGCCCTCAAACCCCAAACCTTGACCCGCAAACCCCATACCCCAAACCCTAAGTCCCCAAACCCTGAGCCCGCACACACCTGCTTGGCGACGTGGGCGTCGAGGGCGGAGAGCGGATCATCGAAGAAGAACACATCGGCGTCAGAATAGACCGCTCTCGCGATGCTGATGCGCTGCTTCTGCCCGCCACTCACGTTCACTCCCCTCTCGCCTATCTCCGTGAGGTCCCCCCCTGGCAGCAGCTGCAGGTCCCTCTCCAGGGCGCTCACTCTCACTGCCCGCTCGTACCGCTGCTGCTCGTAGGGCAGCCCGAAAAGAATGTTCTCGCGCACTGTGGCGTTGAAGATCCAGGAGACCTGCGCAGGCCATGTGCCACGTGGCAGCATGTGATTGGGGGAGAGGAAGAAGGGGAGGGCAGATAAAAAAAGGAAAACATAAGGCTCAGCGGGTGGACCGTGGACCGCAAGCGAATGAAACATATCAAGAAAGAAAATTAGCACTTGCTAAAACAAAGTAAACAAAGCACCTGATTAGGGGACCAGATGCAAAATAACCTTCGAAGAATCGGTACAAACCTGTGAGACATAGGCCACGCGGCCTCTGATGATAGGAGGAGAGTCCCCTGCCACCATGGGCATCTCGCCCAGCAGCGCACTGACCAGCGACGACTTGCCTTGCCCTGCCATGGGGTGGGGTGGGATGGGGGAGGAAAGCAAGGAGAAGGAATGTGGTCAGGAAGATGTGAGTTGATGAAGAGGCCTTTCCAGTCCTGACATGCCATCTCACCCAACAGTGCACCGACCAGTGATGACTTGACCCGCCCAAACCCACCCTGACCCGCCTTGACCCTCCCCAACCTGCCCCGACCAACCCACCCCATTTGCTTTGATCCGTCCTGAACCTCCTGAACCCCTCTGACCCGCCCTGACCCGCCCAGTTCACCCTACATGCCGTACCTGTGGCGCCCACAACAGCCACCAGCTTCCCAGGCTCCACCGATAGAGTCACATCTGTTAGTGTGCCCCCCACGTCCTTCTCCTTCCCCTCCCCTCCCACTCCACCCTTCTCCTTGCCGTCTCCCCCTCCTCCACCTCCCTTTTCTGCTCCTGAGCCCCCCCCAGCAGCACCGTTAGAAGCAGTTCCATTAGCAGCAGCAGTAGGAGCAGCAGAGGGAGCAGCGCTCCAGGCAAAGGAGGCATGGGAGACCTCGACTGCCGGCTTGGTGGGGTCGATGGGCGGCGCAGGGGCGTCAATGTCCGTTTCGTCTGCCAGTAGCATCTCCTGCAGGCGCGTGAGAGACACGTTCACGTTCACCACCTGGGGTTGGGGGGAGGTGGGCGTGGGGTTTCCAGCAGAAGGTGTAAGGTAGATGGGGGTAGAAGGAGGGATGAAAAAGGGACGAAGAGGATTAAGAGGAGGGAGAGGCGTCGATTTCCGTCTCCTCCAAGTCGCTTTTGAGAAGTCTCAAAAGTCACAAATGCCTAGCTTGACCGCCGCTTCAAACTGCGTAGTAGTGATGGACATGTGGGGTTTGAGATGTTAAGCCTCAAAAGCACATATTCAAACTCCGACGCCCTCCCAGCCATATTATAGTCTATGAAATAACCCAACTCGTGCTGTCTTCCGCGTGCATCAATAATTCTAGTCCTATAACTTGCCAGGTAGTACGTGCTTCCGAGAATGCCACAGCTATCCCCCGCCTCATGTACTCCTACAACCCCTCCCACTCTCCCGCCCCCTCCCCTCGGCTACACACTCCCCTGAAGACAGCACGAGTACCAAGTACGATTGGTACCAAGTGTAGATGCATTATTTGGCCATATAATATACTAAGTGTAAGGGTGTTACTTGATATTTATGATTGGTAGTAACTTCAAGTGCAGTACTTAACCTTTTGGTTGATATTATGTAAAATTGTGCTACATGGTTATGCAATTGGTACTAAATATAATGCTTTACTTAGCTTGACAGTTGGTACAAAGTGTTAGTCCCTTACTTAACATTAGGAGGTAGGGTAAAACAAGGGTACTCAATGTCAGAACTTGAGCTTAGAATCCATGCATTAGTAATGAGCTCAAGGCTCTTTAAGAACATTGGAAATGGGCAAGGTAAGGGTGGGGAGAGAGGATCAGGGACAATCCTAGAGGATTGGGGGTAATCCTAAGGCAATCTCCAATTGGTGGGTTGGAGATTGCTTAAAGATCACATTTGGGTTTGGTTGGGATATGGGTGTACACCCAGCCAAACACCAAGTGCAAACTACGCTAAGCTAGGGTATAAAAAGTACAAGTACAAATGTGAGATTGAGGGCTAACATTAACACCCCCCCATAGGCGTCAATCGAACTCATGACAGAGAAGGTGGAGCGCAAAGCCCCATGGCGCCTAGGAGGCAAAAATGAGAAACCTTCCCGAAGGGCTTAGTGAACAGATGAGCCAAGTTGGAGTCAGAGGCCACATACTCCACATTGAGCTGCTCCCGCTGGACAAGGTCACAGATGAAGAAGTGTTGAAGTTCGATGTGCTTGGTGCGAGTGTGGTAGACGGGATCCTGGAAGAGATGGATGGTGCTCTTGTTGTCACACCAGAGGGTGGGAGTGGGCTGAGGGTAGCCAAGCTCCTGGAGTAGGAAGGTGAGCCAGCGGGCCTCCTGAGCCGCCATGGTGCCAGCATAGAGCTCTGCCTCACAAGAAGACTGCCACATAGCGAGAGAGGACGCTGACAGGGTATGCCAGATCAGGCCGGGAGCACATCATGGCGTACATGAGGGACCCAACAAGATTTGGGTATGACAAGAAGGATGGAATAAAAAAGCCGGGATTGAAAGCGGTCATGGCTGGAGGAAAAAAACAATATTCTCACAATGTGAGAGAGGCATAAGATGGTAGCTTAACTGTTTAAGTGAGCTGAGGTCCCCAAATAGTTGCTCGCACTCAAGACAATCGAGTAAAAATCAGAGAGAAATAATTCGACTCAACAATCAGCTCGACACTACCTGGGAATGGAGATCACTCGCGATTGCAAGGCTCACACCATCTCACTCTCCCAGGAGTTTTACATCAACAATGTACTCAAGCGCTTTGAGATGGAGTGGTTGCGAGTGAAGGCTTCACACTCAGCTTCCATGGCAGCGCGCCACTCGGCAGCATGGGGAACCGAAAGAGCCTCTTGGACGGTGAGGGGAATAGGAATGGTCGGGTTCTCCGAGAAGTTAAGGGGTATTCAGTGATATCGGGAAAGATGTGCGAAAGCTGAAGAATGACAGCGTGGATATCACACAGCTCCTCGTGCCTGTCTTCCAAAAGGGTAGAGGGCACATTCCCTCCAGCAGGAGGAGTCAAAGTGATCACTGAGTATCGAATGGCAAGTGCTAGTAGAGGAGTAGCCCCATGCGTCCGAGTGCCATGAGCCACCGGAGAAGAGGGCGGAGCAGGCGTTCCTGGGGGGGACGACATAGGGGGCTTGGGGGGAGGGATCGGCCGACGTTGGTACGTGATTAGTTTGCTCGGCTGTGGGAGAGCAAGTTCCAAGGCGGAGGAGGAAACGAAGGGAGGAGGTGGGGCGGGAGGATTTGACCGCCGATGGTATGTGATTGGTGCGTTTGGTGGTGAGGGCACAGTTGGCAGAGTGGCAGAAGGGGGGGATGGAGGAGCAGCTGCCGAGGACACCGGAGAGGTCGGGTTAGAGACCGTAGACGAGGATGGTGCGATGGCAGGAGAAGCACGAGGTGAGAGGGCTGGTGCAAGCGGAGGTTCAGAAGGCACATCAACGTCAGCCCACACGAGAGAGGGTGGTCCGGAGGGGGGATCTCCCCCCGAGGTGGAGAAGAAGAGGCGAGTCTCATCAAAGACGACATCTCGGCTCCGGACGAGTTTGTTGAGTGGAGGGGTTGAGGAAAAGGTAGTCAGGGGAGGCAGCGTTATGCCCAATGCATTTGCACGTTTGAGTTTTGGGACGAAGCTTCCTACCTTGCCCTTGGCAAGCCTGGGGGTTGAGGAGTACATAGGGGGTGCACCCCCAGACGCTAAGGGGGCGAGCAGTGGGTGTTTTTTCGAGCCAGAGTGTGATGGGAGCGGTGTCGGGAAGATGCGGGTGGGGATAGAGGTTGTAGAGGAGGGCAGCATGACAAAGGGCGTACCCCGAGAGTGAGAGTGGTGCGTTGCAGTGGCTGAGCGAGTGATCTGCGTCAGTGTGTGATTGCGGCTCTTTGCTATGCCGTTTTGCTGCTGGCTGTCAGGAAGGGTGAAGTTTTGCAGGATGCCAAGGGAGGAGCAGAAGGCTTTGGGATTGTCATTGCAAAATTCACCACCACCATCCGAGTGGAGACGCTTGACCTTGGTGCCAAAGGAGGTATGCACCTGGTCAACCCATGCCATGATTGCCTCCGGGGCCTCAGCCTTAGGAGGTGCACAGAGACGTAGCGAGTGTGGTCATCAACTATCAGAAGAAATAGAGATGACCACCTCGTGCGACAATCGGGGCAGGGCCCCAGACGTCCATGTGCACTAGGTCCAATGGGGGTGCTGCTATTGAGGGTGAGGCAGGGTGGGGCTGCTGGCATACCTTACTCTTGGTACAGTCAAGGCACGTGGGAGCGGGCGAGTCAAGTGGTGGAGGAAGTGAGGCTGGCCAGCTGAGAAGAAGCTTCTTGGAAGCCATGTCAGCAAACGTGCGGAAGTTTGAGTGCCCGAGCCGATGGTGGTAGAGGATGGTCGGGTTGGAGAAGCTGCGACATGAGCATGCTGTGATATAGGCATGGGCATCTGGCCCGACCCGGCCCGACCCGTCCCGTTTAGGGCGACCCGTTAGCTTAACGGGTCGGGTCGGGTCGGGTTAGCGGGTCGGGTTTGACTCTGTTTTGGTGACCCGACCCGCCCCGTTGGAACGGGTATTTGTGACCCGTAACCGGGTCGGTTACACCACGGGTCGGGTCGGGTCGGATCAAAATATGCTACATAGCATTAGGGTATGGTGGCGCCTTGGCGCTGCTCCAGGTGGTGTTCGCGATGCTGGAGGTGGGGACCGCGATTCTGGCTGGTGGCGTTCGCGCTACTGCAAGGCCGCTATCGCGCTATTGCGGGGATGCGATCCCGCCAATGCGTGGCCGCGATCGCGCTGCCCTAATGTGGTGCCGCGATCGCGCATATGCGGGGCCGCGATCGCGCTATTGCGGGGACACGATCCCGCCAATGCGTGGCCGCGATCCCGCCAATGCGTGGTCGCGATCCCGCCAATGCGTGGCCGCGATCCCGCCAATGCGTGGCCGCGATCCCGCCAATGCGTGGCCGCGAGTGCGCTGCTGCGCCCCTGGTCGTGCGACACTGGGAAAGGCAGGAGCGCCTATGCCTATAATGAATATAAATATTAAAATAGTGCTAACATTGAAGTCAAGACTGTAAGAGTTTTGGTAGGTGGAGTGGAGATTTACTAACTTGATTAGAGACTGGATCTGAATGTCGAGGGAAACAAAACATAAAAACCAACTGACGTTCTCCCCCTCTCCAAATTGTACCCTAAGCAGAGAACGGGTCGGGTAACCCTGTCATTTGACTGGGTATGCGACCCGGACGGGACGGGTCAACCCGACCCGGCGGGTCGCTGATACCCGTCTATAAATCACATTGACGGGTCACGGGTCGACCCGACCTAGGGAAGAGCAAATGGCGAACACGAACATGTTCGTGTTCGCCTGGGCTCGAACATGGCTGTTCGGCGAACCGAACACTGTTCGGTTCGCCGAACACTTTACACCAGAAAGGGTGTTCGAAGTTCGCCAAGAGAGGCGAACATTTCGTACGTTTTGGCGAACACGAACACGTTCGCCCAGAACATGTTCGCGTTCGCCTTAAAGGACCTTCTCAGATCCAAGTAGAGTGAAATCCAAATGTTTCACATTCCCTCCCCCCACCCCGCAAGCCAGTCCCGCCCTGCTAGAACCGCCCATGCTAGATCTACGCTTAAGCAACGGCGAAATGCTAGATCTACGCTTAAGCAACGGCGAAATGCTAGATCTGAGCTTAAGTAACAGCGAAATGCTAGATCTGAGCTTAAGCAACGGCGAAATGCTTGATCCGCACTTAAGCAACAGCGAAATGCTAGATCTACGCTTAAGCAACGGCGAAATGCTAGATCTACGCTTAAGCAACGGCGAAATGCTAGATCTACGCTTAAGCAACGGCGAAATGCTAGATCTGAGCTTAAGCAACGGCGAAATGCCTTGATCCGCACTTAAGCAACGGCAAAAGGCCTTGATCCGCACTTAAGCAACGGCAAAAGGCCTTGATCTGAGCCCAAACACCAAGGCCCGCGCCCTAAAAATTGGTCGCGGGCCTATTCGTCGACGAACACATTGGTGTTCGTCGAAGGCCCGTGTCGATCACGAACACGTTCGTGTTCGTCGCGCCTCGGCCAGCTGAGCCGGGCGAACGGCGAACGTGTTCGGGCGAACACCGAACACGTTCGCCCCGAACAATCTAGGCCAAAAAAAAATCCTGTTCGGTTCGCCTCGAACGTGTTCGAGGCGAACCGAACAGGTGTTCGTCATATTGCTCATCCCTAACCCGACCCGCCCGGGTAAACCCGACCCGACCCGGACGGGTCGACATTCTCAGCATTCCTGACCCGACCCGCCATTTTAGGCGGGTCGGGTCGGGTAACCCGACCCGTCCGGGCCAAATGCCCATCCCTACTGTGATAGCAGCCTGTGCTTGGGTGGTTGACACCTGTGGGATAGGTACTCGCAGCGTGTAAAGGCCGTTGTGATTGAGGGTGAAGCGAGCCAAGACCTTGTTGGTGAGTGAGTCGATGATGTCACAATAGTTTTCGTTCTCCGGGAAGATGGTGCGTAACCCCGCCTCCTGAATTTCTGTTTGAGCCACTAGATTGTGGCGTAGTGACGGCACGCACATGCCAGTGACAGTGCCGGATGGAACGGCGAGGCATGGGATTGTGGACGAACCCTTGGCAAGAGTGGTGAAGCTTGAATCAGCTCTCAAGAGAGGAATGGGTGTTGCGTAGGGTTTAAAGAAAAGTCTCCTTGAGCACTGTGTGAGTGGCCCCGCTGTCGAGTGTGAATTTTATATGTCGTGGTGTCTGTGATGAGACGATGTACTGCGAAGTTGCTTCATTAATCATTGCAGTGCCAGGGAACAACAAGTTCATGCGCACATCAGCAGGAGCACTGTCACTACCACTAGCCTGAGCGAGGTTCTGTGCCTCAACAACGTTGGCCTTACGAGAATGTATCCAATTCGGCGGCTTTTTGTCGACTCCATGGATGGCATACCATTCGTCGTTTTTCTTCTTGCAGCACCTGGCGAAGGGGTGGTTGGTGCCACCGCACACTTGTCCCTTGCGAATGCCATACTTGACAATGTAGGTGCATGGAGGGAAGCGGTTGCGCTTAAAGGACGCCGAGGCGAGTGCTGATGCGACACTTGATTGAGGCACGGGAGCACGGAGGGCGTAGGCCTTAGCTTGGCCGAGGAGTCTTTTTTGGCGGAGAAGAGGGCGGAGGAGACATTAGCAAAGGTGAGGCGAGTGCTGACTCGACACTTGATTGAGGCACGGGAGCACGGAGGGCGTAGGCCTTAGCTTGGCCGAGGAGTCTTTCCCGGCGGAGAAGAGGGCAGAGGAGACATTAGCAAAGGTGAGGTCTTCTGTCGAGGAAGCGAGGAGCATTTTCCTTGTGACTTCGTAGGAGATTATTCGAGGAAGATGACACCCAGCTCCTTGAGCTCGCCATGGATGATTTTCACCTTGGCGACGTAGTCGGCCATACCCAGGCAGTCCTCAAGGCGGACTTGAAACATACTACGAATAAGATTGGCCACCCCGACCGCCGTCTTATTCATGAACATGTCTTGGAGATGCTTCTAGATGGCTTTGGAAGTGGGGAAATTGTGGAACGTGTTGAGAAGTTTGGGAGGAGTGGAGCCAATGAAGACGCTAATGAAATCCGCATCGGCCTTCTCCCACTTGCGGTACTTGGCAACAGAGTCCTCATACTCCCGGGTTGCCACAGCATCGGTTGGATCGGATGGCTCCTTGGAAATGAGGGGCTGTTTTCCCTTGCCATGATTGAGAAGAACGTCCTTGAGGTCAAGTCCACCCACTTCACGACTCAGGAGGAGCTTGTCAACCCCGTAGCTTCATGCCTTGAAGTTGGAGCTAGTGCCTTCGGCTTCAAGGCGGAGCGGGGTGATGGGTTTGGCGAGAGTGGCCGAGGCGAAGGCCATGACAAAGAACCCTTCAGGTCTCGCGTGAGGCGTCGTTGTTGAATCACCGATAGGAACTTGAGGTTTAAGGTTTCCGAAGGAGAATCTCAAGAACTTGGGGTTTTGGGTTTACGAAAAAGAATTATGATGTTTATGGTTTCCAAAGGAGAAAATCCGAGGGGTGAGAAGAGCGAAAGGCTTTAATGTCCGCCGCTTCGGAATGTCTCGTAGAAGGATTTTTAAGGCCGATGAAAGTAGGTCAAATTGACCGATTTCGATAGCTAACTCCATTCCCACACACCCCCCCACACACCACCCTCAGTTTCGCGGCTACACTGCTGCTCGCTGCTCAGCTTCGCTCCTACATGGCTGCTCAGCTGCGCAGCTGCACCTGTTCAGCTGCAAAGTGTCGTTGCGGGGCGACGGGCGGCAGCCCGACGAGAAGATGCAGGGCGATGGGCAGCGGCCCGACGAGAAGCTGCAGGGCGACGGGCGGCGGCTCGACGAGAAGCTGCAGAGCGACGTGCGGCGGCCCGACGAGGAGAAATGGAGCGAAGACGATTGACTAGAAAAATGTGATTGGTTAAAGCGCCAACGATGCGCCTACCAAAGAAGTTGTGAAGTCGTCGAAAAGGAAGGGAGAGTGGCGCGGGATAATTTCCTACCAAAGAAGTCGCGAATCACCAGAACTGGATAGATGATGGCTACGCCGAAGAAAGCGGGACAAAAGCCCGTTGAGATAGGAGGATCATGATACGCGTGTGCGGTTGAATCGCTCTGATACCATGTCAGAACTTGAGCTTAATATCCACGCATTAGTAATGAGCTCAAGGCTTTTTAAGTACATCAGAAATGGGCAAGGTAAGGGTGGGGAGAGAATCAGGGGCAATCCTAGGGGATTGGGGGTAATCCTAAAGCAATCTCCAATTGATGGGTTGGAGATTGCTTGGAAATCATATTCGGGTTTGGTTGAGATATGGGTGTACACCCAACCAAACACTAAGTGCAAACTACACTAAGCAAGGAGATAAAAAGTACAAGTACAAATGTGAGATTGAGGGCTAACATTAACACTCAATACCAAAATATTGAGGCGAACCACTAACCTGGGTGATGAGGTTGGGGAACATGTAGAGGGGGAAGCGCAACACAGCGAAGAGGGAGATGGAGGTGAAGGCCTTGGCGGCTGTGAGCTGGTGGCCTAACAGCGAGTAGCAGCCGAACGACACCACCGTCACTAGCACCGGCACCACACTCATCAGCAGGAAATTGATCTGCGGAAGGATGGGGGGATGGGACACGGGGGTTGGGAGGGGGGAAAAGAGAGTGGAAGAGAAGGAAAGGCGGGGTGGGGTGGGGTGGGGCTTGACCATGAGTGAAGTCCATTGGTTTTTCTACTCAAAAGCCGCTCACAGGTCAAATCTTTGGACTTTTGGGGGGTTTTAACACGATATACGCAAAGAAGATAAGGGTGGGTCATAACTATTTGTTTACTCTTTGTCTAACGATCGAGATCCACGTGCAAGGCTCAATATGATGTGCGACTGCACTGCACCTTGGAAAAAAGCCCCATATTATCAACCTCCACCACCATGCCCTGAAAGCTCTCCTCCCACGTGTACAACTTGACTCACCGCCACCTCACTCATCCTCTCCACCTCATCATACCACACACAACCCACCGCCATGATGTATTGCGCCTTGGAGATCTGCCCCATCTCGTCCGCTCGAACGCGTGCCACCTTGCTCTGAAAGCTCTCCTCCCACGTGTACGACTTGACGACGTCCATGGCTGCCAGCACCTCGCTCATGAGCGCCACTCGCTTGTCGCTGCGCTGCAGTGATGCCTTCACCAGCTTCTGTACCCTATTCACTATCACCGCCTGGTGGTGGGGATTTGGGGATAGGGGTGGATGTGGCACGGGAGGCAGGGAGAGTGGAGGACGGACGAGAGGAGGGGAACAGGGAGGAGGTAGGCAGATGGAGAGAAAAAAGGGGTGGGAAGCGGGGTTTGGGTTGAGGACGGAGTGAAGAAAGGAGGGGAGAGGGGAAGTGAGAGGGGGCAAGTGAGGCGAGGAGAGAGCAGGGAAGAGAAGAAGCATAGGGAGAGAGGCACAGGCCACTCCAAACTGATGGCAGAGCAGGACCATGGAGGCAGATGAGAATGTGAGCAGAAATACCAGAGAGTCAAGCCCCATTTCCACCCGGTACCACAACCACTCACCTGCGCGGGGATCATGAGGAGCAGCATGAGCAGCCCGAGGAGTGATGCCACCCCTAGCTGCTGGTAAAGCAGGAAGACACACACGAGGATGCGGAGAGGAGCGGACCAGAGACCGTGCAGCTGCTGACACACCTGGGAGATTAAGATGGGAGACGAGGGGAAGGGAAGGGAGTGAGTGAGACAAAGGGAGTGAGTCAACGCAAGGGGTGAAGAGGAGTGATGCCACCCCTAGTTGCTGGTAGAGCAGGAAGACACAGACGAGGATGCGGAGAGGAGCGGACCAGAGACCGTGCAGCTGCTGACACACATGGGAAGAGGGGAGAGCGGCAGGAGAAAGGAAGAAGGTTGATTACAGAGGGGTTTGAAGCGAGCAAATCGGCCGTCTTGATGCACAATCTGAGCAAGGAGGTGGAACCCTTTTTTGAGGCAATTCTTGAGGCGCCTTTTGAGGATTTTCTAGGCGCCTCAAAAATCACATTCTGAGCAAGGAGGTGGAGCCCATTTTTGAGGCGACTAAAAAAAGGTGGAGCCAGATTTATTGATTGATGGTAATGCGGTTGTTGTCACAGAAAACGGGAATACCACACTGCGGTTATTGTCACCTGCATGATTCAAAAACTCTAAGAATACCACACCGCATCACACCCAAGGTTCAAAAATACGGTAAACGTAAATTACGGCTCGTAAATTACGGTCGTAATTTACGGTGGTTTTGGCAAAAATACGGTCGTTTTTTAAATGGACATTTTTTGCGGATTTTTTTTTCCAGAAATTCCTAGAAACCTTACAACGATGACAAGGAAGGTGACAACATACTACACTACAGAATGGTGGTTTTTGCCCTGGTTGCGTTGGCGAATGGAATATGCAAAAGGGATGAGATGGAAGGGATGAAGATTGGACGAACGCTATTGGTTGGAATGGTTTTGCAGTGTCGAAATTGAGTTGAGTAGCGCATGCGGGTGAAAAAAACGAACGGGCCGCGAAACGACCCACCGACTTGGCGAAACGGGTAGACTTGTGTTATCCGTTCGCCAAATGTACAATTTGCCGCGTCGCACAAATTTGTACATTTGCGATTCGGCGAAATACACAAACGAGTGTGCGAATGGGCAACAAACCTGTTAAACTGTCACCAAAATGCACAATGTCCCGCCTCGAGATTTTGCTGACACTCGCGAATCGGGAAAAAAACACTCTCGAGTGGGTTTGGGGCCACAAAAATTCTCACGAACAGGTTGACGGTTGGGAAATGTTGAAATTCGTTATACAAAAACTCGGTTTCAAACTTTCGGTCGTAATTTACGACCGTATTTTTGAACCAACCTAATTTTGCAACGTCAAACCGATTTTTACCGTAATTTACGACCGTAAATTACGATACCGTAATTTACGGTAAATTTTCAAAAATACGATCGTATTTTTGAACCTTGATCACACCACACCACACCGCACCTCACCCCACCGCACCACACCGCACCGCACTGCACCGTACCATCTGCAGCGACTCGGCGTCGTTGGTCATCATGTTGGTGATGCGCCCCGTGCTGAAGCCCTGCCGCCCACTGTGACTCAGCCGCAGTGACTTGCTGAACACTGCTGCCACCTGCACATGGGACGGGTCACGGCACAGAAAAGAGGATGGCGGAGAGAAGGGGACACTGCTTAGCACAGCCACAGGGACTTGCTGAACACTGCTGCCACCTGGGCGCAGAAACACAGGGGGTCAAGAGAGGGGAACAGCACTCTCCGTCTCGTCCTTGAGATTTGGGACGTCACAAAACGATGGGCCGGTCGGGAGTGTGTTTTTAAGCGCCTGAAAAGGAGGTCGAGAGAAAGGGTAACGGCAATTTCAAGTTTCATTCATCCTCGTCCTCCAGATTCGGGACGATTTGAACGGACGCGGGGTTTGGAGAGGGAGTGTAACAGGGATGAAGAAACACGGCAGACCGATTGTGACGCATGGATGACGATCCTAAGGGAACGTGTAAGGAACGGTATATGGGGTTGAGTGAAAACGAATGGGAGCACCATCCACTTGAAGATAACGTAAACCCACAGTGCATGTAACAGTGCCACAATGCATTCCCATAACGCACAGTACAGCACGCTGCCTATCCACCCACCCACCCACCCACCCACCATGGCTTACCAGCATGTCACGGCATCCCAAGTGCACAACACAGTGCATGCAACAGCACCCTCTCACAGCTTGTCTCAGGCACGTACCATGGCTTGCCGCAGCTGGAAGCCCACGCGCATCACACTCTGGAAATACTGCGCCTCACAGATGACCCCTCCCACCTAGTACCACGGAGGGATACACGGACAGAGAGAGGGTCGGTGTGCGGTGGTGGGCGGTTAACAAGAGGTGGTGATGGTATGCTACTGGGTTGACGGGGGTGATGCGGGGTGGGTGGGATGCTGCGGCGTTAATGACGACGAGTGATAATTAAAGCCTCGCAAGCATGCATGACACGTCCCACTGCATGGCAGACCCCTAAACCCCTGAACCCTACTCTTTCATTTACTCTGTGCCTAGGCCTCATAGTACCAGCCCCAGGAAGATGATGGTGGCATAGATGTAGCTGTGCCATGCAGGCTCGTCCCACTGCATGGCAAACCCCTAAACCCTCTAACACTCTGTCCACACCACACTGTGTGTCTATGGGCATAACCCCACAACCACACCAGGGAGGGTGCACCACCATACCAGTCCAAGAAATATGATGGTGGCATAGATGTAGCCGTGCCATGCAGGCTCGTCTGATTGCATGGCTGACAGCAGGCGGCTGAGCATCAGCGGTCCCACAAACTGAGAGGCGTCGTTGCCAATCTGATGAACAGTGGGGTGGGGATGGGATGGGATGGGGTGGAGATGGGGATGGGATTGGGGTGGGGATGGGGATGGGGATGGGGATGGGGATGGCGATGGGGATGGGGATGGGGATGGGGATGGGGATGGGGATGGGGATGGGGATGGGGATGGGGATGGGATGAGGGTGGGATGAGGGTGGGATAGGGGTGGGCATGCGAGCGAGCACCGGTGTGTATGAGAATCCAAAGATGCAATATGCAACATGGAACACGCAACATGCAACATGCAACATGCAACAATATATGCTGGAGCACCAGCCATGATCATCCAGGCAAGAGTGTAACGGTCGGAAGGAAGGAAACATGCTTCTCTCACAGGTTTGGAAAGGCCTAGCTAGCATTCAGGCAGGAAGGGAAGGGAAGAGGGAGGCATACCTTGCAGAACCCACCCCACCAGAACCTGTTTAAGGTCGGAAGAGTAAGGGGAAGACAGGGATGGGAAGGAAGTAGAAGGGATGGGGGAGGGGAGGGGGTTGTGAGATGTATGCGTGTGAGCGGTGCATGTCGAACCGACCACGAGATTCAAGACGTCTCGAAACCTAACAATGTGGGATGTGTATGGTGCATGTGCGACCGACTATGAGTTGACTTTTGAGTCGAGTTGACTTTTGAGTCAACTCAAGAGTCAACTTAACAATGTGGTATGTGTATGGTGCATATGTGACCGACTATACGAATTGAAATTTGATTTGGAAGAGGTGGGGGCTGGGGGGAGGTGGGGAAGGGCAAGGGGAGGGGGAGGGGGAGGGGGAGGGGGGAGGGGAGAGAGGGGGGGAAGAGAATGGTGGTGCGCATGTGTGAGCGATCACAACCCAATACAAAGGTTCATCTGTGTTTGTTGAGTGCGTCCTGTATGCCGCACTCTGCAATGGCGGCACTGCCCTATCAAACAAGCTGAAAATGCACGCACAACACAACAAGCTCCTCCGTCCATTTTTGCAGCGCCTCAAAAACTCTGCAACGGCGGGCACTGCCCTGTCAAACATGCTTAAAATGCACGCCGTTGCACAACACAAGCTCCTCCGTCCGAGGTGACTTTTGAGTCGACTCAAAAGTCACTCTGCAACGGCGGGCACTGCCCTGTCAAGCATGCTTAGAATGCACGCACAACACAAGCTCCTCAGTGATGTAGGGTTTTTGTGAGAATTCTCAAATAAACCCTGCATCACGGCGGGCACTGCCCTGTCAAACATGCTAGAAATGCACGCACAAGCTCCTCCGTCCATCTTTCCCTCCGTTCATCTGTCCACTTCTCCGCCACCTCCCCCCCTCCCCTCTTTCTTCCCTCACCTCCTCCCATTCCTCCAGCTCCTCCCCTCGCGCCCCTCCCCTCCCTTCCCACCCACCTCTCCTACACCTCCCAAACCCTCTCACCACTCCCTCCCCCCCCCCCATCCCCCCCCTCCGAACCTTCCACCCCTCCCACACATCCTCTACCCTCACCTGCGGCCAAAGCAGGAGTGCAGGGCGCGCAGCAGCCACGGCTTAGGCCGCGCCTTTTCTTCCCTCCACTCGCGCTCAAACCTGCCCAGGTGGGGGCGAGAGCACACAACAGGAGAGAGTAGGGTGGATCCGTGAACGGAAGGTTGGAACCAGCCAGGACAGCAGAAGACACTACTTAGCCGCCCCTTCTCTCCCCTCCACGTGAGAAGGTGAGAGAAAAGCCGAGCGGAGGGTAGGAATTGACGAATCAGGGAAGCCATCATTCAAGAGCCGTGCCACACATTGCTGCCCTCCAACCGGCACTTGGTGTCACTCATGCCCCGTAGACCCACAGATAGACCCACACATACAACCTCACCTGCCATACACCGTGGCTGTTTTGTTTTTCCATCGTTCAACCGCCACACATCGCTGTCCTCCAACCGGCACTTGGTGTCACTCATGCCCCACAGACCCACAGATAGACCCACACAAGCTCACCTGCCATACACCGTGGCAGTGCGGTCGCCATCATTCAGCCGCCACACATCGCTGTCCTCTATCGGGCGCCGGTACCCCAAAGCCATGAGAGGTGTCATCCACCCAAACGTCAGACCTGCGGAAGGAGTGGGGGAAGGAAGGGGTGGGGAGGAAGGGGTGGGGAGGAAAGGGTGGGGGATGGGTGAGGGTGGGTGACAAGGAGCAAGGTAGAAGGGTCTAGAATTCTGAAACAGGTGAGAGCTCACGGCCCAGGTTTAAGCTCAGACGCTTCAACTCACTCAGGTTTAAGCTCAGACGCTTTACAGGATGTGAAATGAAAGGTAAAAAAAGTACGAGGTTTGGGGTTTAAGAACAGTAGATGAAGCTCAGGTGCATCAAGTCCACTACTTGGAGGTTGTGAGGTGTTGTAAGGTGGAAAGAATTAGGCTTCAGGGATTCAATGAGGCCTCACGGTTGATGAAGCTGGTGTGGTCTTCAGGGCACACCTGCCCCTGGGTGTCTCCTCCCTCCTCCGCTGCTTCTCCTTCCGCCCCACCCACAGGCCCTGCAGCCAAAGGCACATACCCCGCACCACCACCACTCCCTGCTGCCCCTGCTGCTTCTCCTGCTGCTGCTGCAGGTGGCAGGAGTGGCGCTGCTGCCTCTGCAGCTGCGAGGGCGGAGGAGGAGAATCCCGACGAGGCACGCTCAAGCGGGAGCAGGTTGGGGAAGAAGAAGAGCGCTAGCAGACCCAGGAGGACCTGGGAGGTATAAGAGAAGGAGCATAAAGGAGGGACACGGAGGGGAGTGAGCAGCCAGGGGAGAATGGGAGGGTGGGAGGAGGAGCAGGGTGAGCAGGGGGGGGGGGGACTGGGAGGACGGAGGGGTAGGTGGAGCAGGCGAAATTTAGTCTGCTGCAGGAGTGGTTGGAGGAGGAAAGACTATGCACGAGCTGCAGCTTTCCTGCACTGCCTTTGCTTGACAGCTAGAACGAAACCTACAGGCAGTAAGTCTTTCTGTTTTGAATATGTTTTCTAAGCGGTGGAATTAGCACTTACGTGAGCTGATGTGTAGCCAAAGAAGAGCTCCACAAAGAAACTGGGAAGGGAGAAAGGATGCAAATGGGGAGAACGCTAAGGGGGAAAATCATGATCGGTCAGAAAGAATAAAAAGAAACCAAAAAAAAAAAAAAAAAAAAAAAAAAAAAAAAAAAAAACACACACACACACACACATGATAGTTGTGGAGGAGAGGAAATGAGCACGAACCACAGCAGCAATGCACCAGGCTACAGCCTACAAGTACACACTCTTTCAATTACGAATCACAGCAGCCAGCCATGCCATCACCTAAACCCTAAAACGCTCAACCAATTCGCTTCAGTACTCAGAGCCAGCCATGCCATCACGCAGAGTGCAGCAGACAGCCATGCCATCACCTAAACCCGACATCCCTCACCTCATGCACTTCATCACTCACGCCTAGAAGTCCCGCTGCAGAATGAGCACAAATCCCAGCTTGGCCAGCTGCCCCACCATCACGTACAGCACAGCGAATCACAACAGCCACAACCCCCCTGGCGGCCATGCATTTGGTTACAAACAAGCTCTCAACTCATGCACTTCATCACTCACGCCTGGAAGTCCTGCTGCAGAATGAGCACGAATCTCAACTTCGCCAGCTGCCCCACCATCACGTAGAGCACTGCAAATCGCAGCAGCCATGCACCCTTCACTGCCATGCGCCTTCGCTCCCAGAAGAGAGCCGTTGCTGTGAGCGCCCAGGCGAGGAACGCCAGGATCAAGGAGCAGACCTGGGGGAGCAAGGGATCGAGTTGAAACGACGGGAGCATGAAACAGTGAGACTGATACGTGGCAACCATACAACGGTCACTGCCATGTGCCTGCGTTCCCAGAAGAGCGTACGCGGTTGTAGTGAGCGCGCCCAGGCGAGGAAGGCCAGGATCAAGGAGCAAATCTGGGAATGCATGGGATAGAATTGAGGTGAGGAGGAGAGCAGGAAGGAAGTAGCTCCAGCTGCAGCAACCACACATCCTTCTCTTCACTGCCATGCGCCCGCGTTCCCAGAAGAGTGCCGTGGCGGTGAGGGCCTAGGCGAGAGGAACTCGAGGATCAAGAAGCAAAGATGAGAGAACATGATTATTGGAGGGGAACAGGAGTGGAAGCAGCAAGAATGAAATGAAACTGCAGCAGCCACATCCCCAGGGATCTGGCATTCGTTCTTCACCGCCATGCGCCTGCGGCTCCCAGAAAGGGGCCGCGGCGGTGAGCGCATCAAGTGAGGAAGGTGAAGATCATGGCGCAAACTTAAGAAGCAGATTGAAGAATAATCAATTGAGAAATACACCAAAAAAAACAAAAACATCCTGAGATGAAGAGAGGAGGAGAGAGGCATCAGTCGACAAGATCCACACGAAGGCCGCGTCTGCCGAGCGTCCTTAATGGCATCTGCTTGCAGGCGAGCGCCGTGGACGTCATTGATTTGAGATGCGAATAGAAACCAGAGAGATTAGAACACGAGAGCTCCAGAGGAGAATTGCGGAAGAGAGGGTCTCAGCAGGGAACAAGAGCATTACGAAACAGATCTGGACTGAGAAACAACGAGGTTGTAACGCATTGGGAGATTGAACCGCATAGGCGTGTGGTGCCTCGTAAGGCGGCAGATCCGCATCTGTAGAGAAGGAGCTCAGTGACACGCGAGCGGGATTTTTTTATCGACTCAAAAACCGCATGATTCACCTCGTAAGGCTCTTACCTCATAAGGCGGTAGATCCGCATCTGTGGAGAAGGAGCTCAGTGACACGCGAGCGCTCAGCTGCATCAGCGGAACCACCGCACACGTCAGCGCCAGCGCGGCAGCCGCCACGATCCCCCGCTCCCCGCGCCACCCGGGCGCAACCGCCCGCTGCTGCGCGCGCGGGGTGGTGTAGAGAACGTACAGCCGCAGCACGGCTAGAAGAATCATAGCGAGGTACGCTGTACCGAGTACGACAATGTCGATGAAGCAGGGCGTGAAAGCGCCTAGCTCGTTCGTGATCGACTCCCATGATCCGTTGAACTGCGGCTTGCAGAACGAATCTACGAATTGTGAAGGCGGCGCCGGCTGCGGCGGCGGCGCAGACGTGCCGAGAATTGCGGAGGAGACGGTCGGAAAGGGAGAGAATGCGACGGATGAGAAAAGTTCGGCGGAATTGCCGCGCGAGGCGGCGCCAGTTGCGGCCATCGCGGTGTCGGTTTCGGAGAGATTGGCGCCGGAAGTCGCGGCGGAAGACGCGGCGGTGAGGAAGGAAGTAACATTAGTGGTGGATGGATGGAGGGAAAGCAAGGAGGAGAAACCGCCGGTGCCATCGAGGGAATCGGGAGGCGACAATGACGCTGCTGCTGACAAACCGCTGACGGTAGCCATTATCGTTGCGGGGTAACTACTATCGGAGAGCCATGGGAAGAGAAGTGAGGGGTAGGGAAGGACGGAGGGAGTCAGAGGCGCCATTGCGCCGCGCAAAGGCTGCTTTCTGACGGCGGGTTCTGATTGCCACGTTTGACAGCCCCCAACCTCTCCTAACAGATTTCTTCGATTTTATCGCTTTTGATTCTCGTCGGATCTGTTCTGACCTCCGATCGCGGACGGGTAAAATTAACAAGTAGTGGACGTACTCCCGACACTACTATAAACACACTACCAGTATCGCATACGTATCTTCTTCCTACTTCTATCAAAGTCAAATGTCATGACCTTTGTTTCTTGCAATAAGAGCTAGATTACGGGGAGCCATGGCGCGAAACTAGAGACTAGCAACACCAAAGACAGACTAAAACTCTAGTCTGCTTGGAGCTCCCATTGCAACAAAAGAAACGTAGGAGCTGCTAGTACCAGTGTCTGAGTGAGCAGCACCCTAGTGACCAGTGAAATTGACAAGGCTTTATAACAGCATCACCGGATGCAACAAGACCTAAACCATTCAAACCGAGAACGAAGCCAGGCCAATGACATGGTGCACGACAAGATCAAGGCAGCATTTCTAGCAAAATGCCCAAGCTTCTTTGACGGGCAGAGCATGCTCCAAAATAGTCCATTATCGTCATTTAGGTCAGCTATTACACACAATTGGTTATGAAGGTTGAACTGTACGAAGTTATGCTTTCTATTGCTGGTCGACCAGTGTTCGAACATACGAAAATAGAAGGTGAACAATGGCAAGTCATTTGCCCAACAAGTGGGCCCACAGTGATCATAAACAAGCCATTCATACACGTCCACCTGGCAGATAACAGTGCGGCACTGGGCACAGAACGGCGTGTGAGGTCAGCATATACAGTGGAATAGCGACTCCCCAAGCTCCTCGAAATTACGGACGTACAAAGTTCTTATACATAATGTGTTACATAAAAATATTTGCCAGCTCTCGTAGCTCAGTTGGTTAGAGCGTATGGCTGTTAACCATAAGGTCGGTGGTTCAAGCCCACCTGGGAGCGCTGCTTATGTTTTTCTGCATCCAATTTTGGTTTTCTCAGTCTATTTCTTGCTGTTCCAGGCAGCATGGCTGCTGTGAGCGCTGACATCAAGACATTGTTTGATCAGTCGAATCATCCAACTCTCTCATAACCGTTGCCCACCCTAGCAGCAGCATTTGTGGAAGGTTCGTCGGCAGCAAGGGCAGGAAAGGAGGCCATGAGTAGTGAAGGTTGGGATGGAAATGGTGCAGGGGAGCAGTTGTGACTGGGCCAGAAAGGAGGCAGGGGGGGTATGTAGCTGGAACGGAAAGGGGGCAGCGGAGCACATGTGGCTGCTACATGAAGGGGGCAAGGTGTCAAATTATAATATTGTGTAGGCTATAGTGGGGTAGCCCATATGGGGTACACATTTCTAGGGTTGCATATTTGTATCACTTCCATTCATAGTTCATTCACTTTCTCGTTCTCATTTCCTCGTGGTATCTGTCAAACATTATATATGTTATGCTTGTGTAGGCTACAGTGGGTTAGCCTATAGGGGGTACACAATTCTAGGGTTTCCTACTTGTACTCATTTCACTGCTAGTTCATTCATTCCTGTTCGCTTATTCTCACATGGTATAGAGCGGGTCCTTCTACGGACCGTTTTTTGGGCCCACCGAAGCGCCCCCCGAGGCGCGATCCTTTTTTTTTAGCGACCCCTCGGGTCGCCATTTCCCCTGCGGCCCCGCCGCCTTCACTGACGCGGCCCCGCCGCCCTCTCTGTCGCGGCCCCGCCGCCTGCTCTCACGCGGCTCCGCCCCGGCTCCTTCGCGGCCCCGCCGCCTGCTCTCGCGCGGCCCCGCCCCGGCTTCTACGCGGCCCCGCCCCGGCTTTCACGCGGCCCCGCCGACGGCTTTGTCGCGGCCCCGCCCAGGCCCTTACGCGGCTCCGCCGCCTGCTCTCACGCGGCCCCGCCCCGGCTCCTTCGCGGCCCCGCCGCCTGCTCTCGCGCGGCCCCGCCCCGGCTTCTACGCGGCCCCGCCCCGGCTTTCACGCGGCCCCGCCGACGGCTTTGTCGCGGCCCCGCCCAGGCCCTTACGCGGCTCCGCCGCCTGCTCTCACGCGGCCCCGCCCCGGCTCCTTCGCGGCCCCGCCGCCTGCTCTCGCGCAGCCCCGCCCCGGCTTCTACGCGGCCCCGCCCCGGCTTTCACGCGGCCCCGCCGACGGCTCTGTCGCGGCCCCGCCCAGGCCCTTACGCGGCCCCGCCGCCTGCCCCCGTCGCGGCCCGGTCACCTCCTGACGGCCCCGCCGTCCCTTCGTGACGGCCCCGCCGTCCCTTCCTGACGGCCCCGCCGTCCCCTCCTGACGGCTCCTGCCGTCCCCTTCTACCGGCCCCGCAACTGCACCTGCTGGCCCCGCCGCTGCACCTACCGGCCCCCACCACCCCCCCCCCCTTTTTCCCGTCGTCTGTCGAGGCGACCTGAGAGGCCAGCAGAGGGGTGGCAGGTGTGTGGCCTCCCCTGCTTCTCCTCCTCCTTCATCTCCCACTGTAGCAGCCGAGCCGCCCCACAGCCGAGCCGCCCTGCCGCCGAGCCGCCGGGTCGCTGAGCTGCTGAGCTGCAGTTGCTGCCGAGCCGCCCTGCCGCCGAGCCGCCGAGTCACCGAGCTACTGAGCTGCAGTTGCTGCTGAGCCGCCTTGCCGCCGAGCCGCCCGAGTCGCCCGAGCCGCCGAGCCGCCGAGCTGCCGAGCCGCTGAGTCGCCGAACCTACTCTTCCCACCACTGGTGAGCTCTTGCCCTGCTAGCACGCTGCGCGTCGCCTGCTTGCCTGCCTGCCTGCCTTTTGGCTTGCCTGGCTGCCTGCCTCCCTGCTGCTAGTCCTGCTCCTGCTTCTACTTGCGGAGCCAAATGCAGCCCCAGCGACGCCGGCGTGAGTCCCTCACGCCGCAGCAGCTGCGTGAGTGGTACGCTGGTTGGGGCTGTAGGGGTGGCGACGCTACTCCTACTACCACTCCTGCTGCTTCTACTCGTGGTGGCGGCCAGATGCAGCTCCCGCGACCCTCTCGCGTGTCTCTCACGCCTCGCCAGCTTCGTGAGTGGTACGCTCAGAGTGGAGGGTCTCTCAGTGCTGTTCGCTGCTCTTACGTGATTCGCACTGGTACTCGGACTGGTCAGCCTTGTGGGACACGTAGTCATACACCGTCCCGCTGCTTCGCCCGTCTGAGCAACGCCTGGCGTACCGTGTTTGGCGACGAGGCTGAGCTTCCCGACTGGGTGGAGTTGCTTAGGCAGAGGGTAGATATATATGCTCTTGACTATGATGCTATTCTCACTGCCATGTATGCATTGCCTACTAGTGCTGACCGTGCAGGTCACCTGTGCGTCCCGCCTGACCCAGGTATAGGACCTGCTGCTCTAGCTACTGGTGAGGCTGCTGCTCTGGGTGCTAGTGAGTCTCCTGCTCCAGGTACAGGTGCGGCTGCTGCTCTAGGTGCTAGTGAGTCTGCTTCCTCAGGTGCGGGTGAGGCTGCGCTCTCAGGTACCGCGTTGGCTTCGGCCTCCCTCACCTTTACACTTGACTCTGGGGCTTCTCGCTCCTTCTTTCGGGACCGCACCACACTCACGCCGCTTGGTCGGCCGGTTGCAGTCTCCCTGGCTGACCCCTCTGGGGGTCCTGTCCTCGCTCACTTCTCCACTGTCCTCCCGTGTCCGGCTGCCCCCTCGGGCACCCTGTCTGGCCTGTACCTCCCCTCGTTCTCGACGAACTTGGTGAGTGGTGCAGACCTACAGGATGCGGGGGTTCACCAGTTCACTCCTGCGAGTCAGCGGGTGACCCACTGCACGGACGCACGCACAGGCCGGCACCTGGCCACGTTCTCGCGTCGGCCGGGGTCGAGCCTCTACACCCTGACCACTGAGTCTCCTCCTGTCCCCGCGTCCGGTCAGGTAGCAGCGTCGGGTCAGGTGTTTGCTGCTGCGTCCAGGTCTGGTCCTGAGTCTGCCCCCTGTACTTGTCGCCTCCTGTCTCACGAGACTCTCCTGTGGCACCACCGTCTTGGCCACCCCTCCTTGCCCCGTCTTCGGAGCATGGCTTCCCGTGTCCTTGTCTCTGGTCTTCCCCAGTCTCTCCCTCCTCTCCCCTCCGGGCCAGGACCTTCCTGTGTCCCCTGTGTCGAGGGTCGCCTCAGGGCTACTCCTCACTCCTCCCACTTCCCCCCGACAGAGGCTCCCCTGCAGACGCTTCACATGGATGTGTGGGGCCCAGCCCCCGTCCGTGGGCAGGATTACGAGCGCTACTTCCTGTTGGTGGTTGACGACTACTCGCGTTACACCACAGTCCTCCCCTTGCGCAGCAAGGGTGAGGTCACTGAGGTGCTGATCGACTGGATCCGCGAGGCTCGTCTCCGGCTCAGGAAGAGCTTCGGCTCGGACTTTCCTGTTCTGCGTCTGCACTCGGACAGAGGCGGAGAGTTCTCCTCTGGCCTTCTGCGTGCCTACTGTCGTGCGCGAGGCATCCGCCAGTCCTTCACGCTTCCGGACTCACCACAGCAAAATGGGATTGCTGAGCGCCGCATTGGCATGGTCATGGATGTCGCTCGTACGTCCATGATGCATGCGGCTGCCCCCCATTTTCTGTGGCCGTTTGCGGTGAGGTACGCGGCGCATCAGCTCAACCTTCACCCCCGGGTCTCTCGGCCTGCGATGTCCCCAGCCTTGCTGTGGACAGGGAAGGTTGGCGATGCGTCTGTGTTCCGTGTCTGGGGATCTCGGGCGTTTGTCCGCGACTTGTCTGCGGACAAGCTGTCCCCTCGTGCTGCTCCCTGTGTCTTCCTTGGCTTCCCCACTGACGCCCCAGGGTGGCAGTTTTACCACCCCTCCTCTCGTCGTGTTCTGTCCTCCCAGGACGTCACGTTCGACGAGTCAGTCCCCTTCTACCGTCTCTTCCCCTACCGCACTCCTTCCCTCCCCCCTC